TACTCGAAAAAACGGTAGCAGATTATTGTAGCAAAGCTTCTCATGCACTAAGTGCAGAGAAAGACAAATGCTAAGAGCTTTACGTCTCACGTCTGACAATTCTCTTAAGGCTAGCTTTAACAAGCTTGTTATTTCTGCGTCCGCCGTGAGAGCCAGCTATTATAGCCTTCTTAATGCTTCTCCAGGCCAGCTTATCTTCGGGCAAGATATGATCACCGACAGCTTTATAATGCAGCTCGAGCTACCTCCGAAGTGTGTTTTGATGCAATCCTCGCTGACAATGCCCGCGGAACAGCAAACGACTCGATGCGTTTTTTATAATCCAGGTGATCACGTGATGCTACGGATTCCCAAGCAGTTACGTGCCAAAACTGACGCCGTGGTAAAAGGACCATTTCTCGTTCGCGTAGTTCATGACAACGGCACTGTCACCATCGACAAGGGTAAACGACCAGACGCGTGAGCATCTACCGCATATTTCCATGCTAATTCTCACAGATCATGAGGGAAGTATAATATAGGTGGTATCGTGGATGACCTGCAAAAACCATTTGTTTAAACGAGTTGATTGCACCAGTTGATTGAACCAGTATAGTGACTGCACTAGTTTAGTGACTGCACTAGTTTAGTGACTGCACTAGTTTAGCCTACCTAATGTTTCTCCGACTAATATATATTCTCCATTATACTTTCTACGACTTAAGCTCCACTGTCAGCCACGGTCCGGGTCTGTCAGAGGTCAGAAAATGGATAAACTATGTCTAAGGATAGTTTTTGTAACGGGGTTTTACGAAGGAGTGCATGTACATAGACACCTTCCACACCATTGTGGTGTGGCTGTACTTTAGGTAGATTGGTGGGTTGATGTGACCATAACTAAGGTACAATAGGTTCACGTCGTGGCCGAAAGTCACGTGGTCATAGTACTTAGTTTGAGTATTATGGATACATATATGTATATAGTAAGAAGGCTACAGAGCCAGTTAATAGTGACTAGCACTAAGTATAGAGTAGGCGTTTTTATATTAGTGCTAGAAGATAAACATACGAATAAATCAGCTTAAAACCTGATCTGTATATCATTTGTTGCTAGAGCGTATTTTCTTCGGAAAAGGAGTAAGTATCTGTTACACTGGTCTCATAGAGATGTCGCTGTTACACCTAGAAAGCACGAGCTTGTAAAGCTAGCCTTGAGAGGGTTGTCAGACGTGAGACGTAAAGCTCATAGCATTTGTCTTTCTCTGCACTTAGTGCATGAGAAGCTTTGCTACAATAGATCTGCCATAGGTAGTCATCTCGTGCCAAGCTATCAGACGTCGTCAGGCCGGATGCTCTCCACCGTCTCGTCGATATGCAGCCGTGGGTGAGAGATACGTAGGAAGATCCAAGCTCTCCATTGAAGGCAAGGATGTAGGAATATTACTGCTGCTGCGATCGAATCGGTCGTAGAGGTTGTCATGAGTTCTTTAACTGCTGCTAAGTTCTAGTCGGTGTCAAGTGTGTGTGAGCCATGAACTCCTCAATCCATTCAGAGCTAGATTCTTGTAGTCAAAAATTCTGTGAAGCTGGTACTAATTACATTAAGATACAATTCCTTTGAGGAACCTGGTCCAAACAAGTTGAATTTCTTGAGGATTGGGACAAGTACCATAAAAGCTAAACTCCTCTATGCACTTTCTGTACTAATTGCAATTTCCAAGAGCTGCGCAAGTTCATTGCTGCTGCAAAGAATGTCTTTAATACTGCAAAAATCACCAATGGCCTAGCGTTTTGGATAAAAAAGTACACCCATTCTAAATGATGAAGGAGTAGATTTGCTGTAACAACATAATGAGGCTTACAAACGACGCAATCATAGATGATTGGGTTGTCTTTATAACCCGCTAAAACAATTAATCAAGGAGCTGATTTGCTGTAACAACATAATGAGGCTTACAAACGACGCATGATTGGGTTGTCTTTATAACCCGCTAAAACAATTAACCAAGGAGCTGATTCGCTATAACAACATAATGAGGCTTACAAACGACTCAAATATAGATGTTTGGGTCGTCTTTATAACCCGCTAAAACAATAAGTATGGTAAGAAAGAAACTACAATCTTTGACATCATCAAAAATTCTACAATGACAAAGATCTGACAAACGCTCCTAAATGTAAGAGCTAAAGACCGATGAAAAACTTGCTAAAGGCCAGGATGGTTAAATGAAGCATTAAATCTTGACGATGTCTTAACCTAGCTTAAGCTTGATAGCGCAAAATATATTTTTTCAGTATGCATGACCTATATAAGCGAATTGAGCTGATAAAAATTACCGAATGCTACTCCAATTAGCAGGTACTCTTTCGCAAGATTTTTCCGTATGAAGAGATCAACAATTGATTAAATGGTATTTTTGGATAAGCCAAGGCCAGTACAAAGTTGTGTCAGACATCAAGTGCTCATGGAGCTATATCAAGCATGGATTACTCGAAAAAACGGTAGCAGATTATTGTAGCAAAGCTTCTCATGCACTAAGTGCAGAGAAAGACAAATGCTAAGAGCTTTACGTCTCACGTCTGACAATTCTCTTAAGGCTAGCTTTAACAAGCTTGTTATTTCTGCGTCCGCCGTGAGAGCCAGCTATTATAGCCTTCTTAATGCTTCTCCAGGCCAGCTTATCTTCGGGCAAGATATGATCACCGACAGCTTTATAATGCAGCTCGAGCTACCTCCGAAGTGTGTTTTGATGCAATCCTCGCTGACAATGCCCGCGGAACAGCAAACGACTCGATGCGTTTTTTATAATCCAGGTGATCACGTGATGCTACGGATTCCCAAGCAGTTACGTGCCAAAACTGACGCCGTGGTAAAAGGACCATTTCTCGTTCGCGTAGTTCATGACAACGGCACTGTCACCATCGACAAGGGTAAACGACCAGACGCGTGAGCATCTACCGCATATTTCCATGCTAATTCTCACAGATCATGAGGGAAGTATAATATAGGTGGTATCGTGGATGACCTGCAAAAACCATTTGTTTAAACGAGTTGATTGCACCAGTTGATTGAACCAGTATAGTGACTGCACTAGTTTAGTGACTGCACTAGTTTAGTGACTGCACTAGTTTAGCCTACCTAATGTTTCTCCGACTAATATATATTCTCCATTATACTTTCTACGACTTAAGCTTCACTGTCAGCCACGGTCCGGGTCTGTCAGAGGTCAGAAAATGGATAAACTATGTCTAAGGATAGTTTTTGTAACGGGGTTTTACGAAGGAGTGCATGTACATAGACACCTTCCACACCATTGTGGTGTGGCTGTACTTTAGGTAGATTGGTGGGTTGATGTGACCATAACTAAGGTACAATAGGTTCACGTCGTGGCCGAAAGTCACGTGGTCATAGTACTTAGTTTGAGTATTATGGATACATATATGTATATAGTAAGAAGGCTACAGAGCCAGTTAATAGTGACTAGCACTAAGTATAGAGTAGGCGTTTTTATATTAGTGCTAGAAGATAAACATACGAATAAATCAGCTTAAAACCTGATCTGTATATCATTTGCTGCTAGAGCGTATTTTCTTCGGAAAAGGAGTAAGTATCTGTTACACTGGTCTCATAGAGATGTCGCTGTTACACCTAGAAAGCACGAGCTTGTAAAGCTAGCCTTGAGAGGGTTGTCAGACGTGAGACGTAAAGCTCATAGCATTTGTCTTTCTCTGCACTTAGTGCATGAGAAGCTTTGCTACAATAGATCTGCCATAGGTAGTCATCTCGTGCCAAGCTATCAGACGTCGTCAGGCCGGATGCTCTCCACCGTCTCGTCGATATGCAGCCGTGGGTGAGAGATACGTAGGAAGATCCAAGCTCTCCATTGAAGGCAAGGATGTAGGAATATTACTGCTGCTGCGATCGAATCGGTCGTAGAGGTTGTCATGAGTTCTTTAACTGCTGCTAAGTTCTAGTCGGTGTCAAGTGTGTGTGAGCCATGAACTCCTCAATCCATTCAGAGCTAGATTCTTGTAGTCAAAAATTCTGTGAAGCTGGTACTAATTACATTAAGATACAATTCCTTTGAGGAACCTGGTCCAAACAAGTTGAATTTCTTGAGGATTGGGACAAGTACCATAAAAGCTAAACTCCTCTATGCACTTTCTGTACTAATTGCAATTTCCAAGAGCTGCGCAAGTTCATTGCTGCTGCAAAGAATGTCTTTAATACTGCAAAAATCACCAATGGCCTAGCGTTTTGGATAAAAAAGTACACCCATTCTAAATGATGAAGGAGTAGATTTGCTGTAACAACATAATGAGGCTTACAAACGACGCAATCATAGATGATTGGGTTGTCTTTATAACCCGCTAAAACAATTAATCAAGGAGCTGATTTGCTGTAACAACATAATGAGGCTTACAAACGACGCATGATTGGGTGTCTTTATAACCCGCTAAAACAATTAACCAAGGAGCTGATTCGCTATAACAACATAATGAGGCTTACAAACGACTCAAATATAGATGTTTGGGTCGTCTTTATAACCCGCTAAAACAATAAGTATGGTAAGAAAGAAACTACAATCTTTGACATCATCAAAAATTCTACAATGACAAAGATCTGACAAACGCTCCTAAATGTAAGAGCTAAAGACCGATGAAAAACTTGCTAAAGGCCAGGATGGTTAAATGAAGCATTAAATCTTGACGATGTCTTAACCTAGCTTAAGCTTGATAGCGCAAAATATATTTTTTCAGTATGCATGACCTATATAAGCGAATTGAGCTGATAAAAATTACCGAATGCTACTCCAATTAGCAGGTACTCTTTCGCAAGATTTTTCCGTATGAAGAGATCAACAATTGATTAAATGGTATTTTTGGATAAGCCAAGGCCAGTACAAAGTTGTGTCAGACATCAAGTGCTCATGGAGCTATATCAAGCATGGATTACTCGAAAAAACGGTAGCAGATTATTGTAGCAAAGCTTCTCATGCACTAAGTGCAGAGAAAGACAAATGCTAAGAGCTTTACGTCTCACGTCTGACAATTCTCTTAAGGCTAGCTTTAACAAGCTTGTTATTTCTGCGTCCGCCGTGAGAGCCAGCTATTATAGCCTTCTTAATGCTTCTCCAGGCCAGCTTATCTTCGGGCAAGATATGATCACCGACAGCTTTATAATGCAGCTCGAGCTACCTCCGAAGTGTGTTTTGATGCAATCCTCGCTGACAATGCCCGCGGAACAGCAAACGACTCGATGCGTTTTTTATAATCCAGGTGATCACGTGATGCTACGGATTCCCAAGCAGTTACGTGCCAAAACTGACGCCGTGGTAAAAGGACCATTTCTCGTTCGCGTAGTTCATGACAACGGCACTGTCACCATCGACAAGGGTAAACGACCAGACGCGTGAGCATCTACCGCATATTTCCATGCTAATTCTCACAGATCATGAGGGAAGTATAATATAGGTGGTATCGTGGATGACCTGCAAAAACCATTTGTTTAAACGAGTTGATTGCACCAGTTGATTGAACCAGTAGTAGTGACTGCACTAGTTTAGTGACTGCACTAGTTTAGTGACTGCACTAGTTTAGCCTACCTAATGTTTCTCCGACTAATATATATTCTCCATTATACTTTCTACGACTTAAGCTCCACTGTCAGCCACGGTCCGGGTCTGTCAGAGGTCAGAAAATGGATAAACTATGTCTAAGGATAGTTTTTGTAACGGGGTTTTACGAAGGAGTGCATGTACATAGACACCTTCCACACCATTGTGGTGTGGCTGTACTTTAGGTAGATTGGTGGGTTGATGTGACCATAACTAAGGTACAATAGGTTCACGTCGTGGCCGAAAGTCACGTGGTCATAGTACTTAGTTTGAGTATTATGGATACATATATGTATATAGTAAGAAGGCTACAGAGCCAGTTAATAGTGACTAGCACTAAGTATAGAGTAGGCGTTTTTATATTAGTGCTAGAAGATAAACATACGAATAAATCAGCTTAAAACCTGATCTGTATATCATTTGCTGCTAGAGCGTATTTTCTTCGGAAAAGGAGTAAGTATCTGTTACACTGGTCTCATAGAGATGTCGCTGTTACACCTAGAAAGCACGAGCTTGTAAAGCTAGCCTTGAGAGGGTTGTCAGACGTGAGACGTAAAGCTCATAGCATTTGTCTTTCTCTGCACTTAGTGCATGAGAAGCTTTGCTACAATAGATCTGCCATAGGTAGTCATCTCGTGCCAAGCTATCAGACGTCGTCAGGCCGGATGCTCTCCACCGTCTCGTCGATATGCAGCCGTGGGTGAGAGATACGTAGGAAGATCCAAGCTCTCCATTGAAGGCAAGGATGTAGGAATATTACTGCTGCTGCGATCGAATCGGTCGTAGAGGTTGTCATGAGTTCTTTAACTGCTGCTAAGTTCTAGTCGGTGTCAAGTGTGTGTGAGCCATGAACTCCTCAATCCATTCAGAGCTAGATTCTTGTAGTCAAAAATTCTGTGAAGCTGGTACTAATTACATTAAGATACAATTCCTTTGAGGAACCTGGTCCAAACAAGTTGAATTTCTTGAGGATTGGGACAAGTACCATAAAAGCTAAACTCCTCTATGCACTTTCTGTACTAATTGCAATTTCCAAGAGCTGCGCAAGTTCATTGCTGCTGCAAAGAATGTCTTTAATACTGCAAAAATCACCAATGGCCTAGCGTTTTGGATAAAAAAGTACACCCATTCTAAATGATGAAGGAGTAGATTTGCTGTAACAACATAATGAGGCTTACAAACGACGCAATCATAGATGTTGTTTTTTTTTACTAAAAAATTAAAAAAAGTGTTATTATAAAAAATAAAGAGGTTAAAAGACTAATATAGATGTTTGGGTCGTCTTTATAACCCGCTAAAACAATAAGTATGGTAAGAAAGAAACTACAATCTTTGACATCATCAAAAATTCTACAATGACAAAGATCTGACAAACGCTCCTAAATGTAAGAGCTAAAGACCGATGAAAAACTTGCTAAAGGCCAGGATGGTTAAATGAAGCATTAAATCTTGACGATGTCTTAACCTAGCTTAAGCTTGATAGCGCAAAATATATTTTTTCAGTATGCATGACCTATATAAGCGAATTGAGCTGATAAAAATTACCGAATGCTACTCCAATTAGCAGGTACTCTTTCGCAAGATTTTTCCGTATGAAGAGATCAACAATTGATTAAATGGTATTTTTGGATAAGCCAAGGCCAGTACAAAGTTGTGTCAGACATCAAGTGCTCATGGAGCTATATCAAGCATGGATTACTCGAAAAAACGGTAGCAGATTATTGTAGCAAAGCTTCTCATGCACTAAGTGCAGAGAAAGACAAATGCTAAGAGCTTTACGTCTCACGTCTGACAATTCTCTTAAGGCTAGCTTTAACAAGCTTGTTATTTCTGCGTCCGCCGTGAGAGCCAGCTATTATAGCCTTCTTAATGCTTCTCCAGGCCAGCTTATCTTCGGGCAAGATATGATCACCGACAGCTTTATAATGCAGCTCGAGCTACCTCCGAAGTGTGTTTTGATGCAATCCTCGCTGACAATGCCCGCGGAACAGCAAACGACTCGATGCGTTTTTTATAATCCAGGTGATCACGTGATGCTACGGATTCCCAAGCAGTTACGTGCCAAAACTGACGCCGTGGTAAAAGGACCATTTCTCGTTCGCGTAGTTCATGACAACGGCACTGTCACCATCGACAAGGGTAAACGACCAGACGCGTGAGCATCTACCGCATATTTCCATGCTAATTCTCACAGATCATGAGGGAAGTATAATATAGGTGGTATCGTGGATGACCTGCAAAAACCATTTGTTTAAACGAGTTGATTGCACCAGTTGATTGAACCAGTATAGTGACTGCACTAGTTTAGTGACTGCACTAGTTTAGTGACTGCACTAGTTTAGCCTACCTAATGTTTCTCCGACTAATATATATTCTCCATTATACTTTCTACGACTTAAGCTCCACTGTCAGCCACGGTCCGGGTCTGTCAGAGGTCAGAAAATGGATAAACTATGTCTAAGGATAGTTTTTGTAACGGGGTTTTACGAAGGAGTGCATGTACATAGACACCTTCCACACCATTGTGGTGTGGCTGTACTTTAGGTAGATTGGTGGGTTGATGTGAACATAACTAAGGTACAATAGGTTCACGTCGTGGCCGAAAGTCACGTGGTCATAGTACTTAGTTTGAGTATTATGGATACATATATGTATATAGTAAGAAGGCTACAGAGCCAGTTAATAGTGACTAGCACTAAGTATAGAGTAGGCGTTTTTATATTAGTGCTAGAAGATAAACATACGAATAAATCAGCTTAAAACCTGATCTGTATATCATTTGCTGCTAGAGCGTATTTTCTTCGGAAAAGGAGTAAGTATCTGTTACACTGGTCTCATAGAGATGTCGCTGTTACACCTAGAAAGCACGAGCTTGTAAAGCTAGCCTTGAGAGGGTTGTCAGACGTGAGACGTAAAGCTCATAGCATTTGTCTTTCTCTGCACTTAGTGCATGAGAAGCTTTGCTACAATAGATCTGCCATAGGTAGTCATCTCGTGCCAAGCTATCAGACGTCGTCAGGCCGGATGCTCCCTCCACCGTCTCGTCGATATGCAGCCGTGGGTGAGAGATACGTAGGAAGATCCAAGCTCTCCATTGAAGGCAAGGATGTAGGAATATTACTGCTGCTGCGATCGAATCGGTCGTAGAGGTTGTCATGAGTTCTTTAACTGCTGCTAAGTTCTAGTCGGTGTCAAGTGTGTGTGAGCCATGAACTCCTCAATCCATTCAGAGCTAGATTCTTGTAGTCAAAAATTCTGTGAAGCTGGTACTAATTACATTAAGATACAATTCCTTTGAGGAACCTGGTCCAAACAAGTTGAATTTCTTGAGGATTGGGACAAGTACCATAAAAGCTAAACTCCTCTATGCACTTTCTGTACTAATTGCAATTTCCAAGAGCTGCGCAAGTTCATTGCTGCTGCAAAGAATGTCTTTAATACTGCAAAAATCACCAATGGCCTAGCGTTTTGGATAAAAAAGTACACCCATTCTAAATGATGAAGGAGTAGATTTGCTGTAACAACATAATGAGGCTTACAAACGACGCAATCATAGATGATTGGGTTGTCTTTATAACCCGCTAAAACAATTAATCAAGGAGCTGATTTGCTGTAACAACATAATGAGGCTTACAAACGACGCATGATTGGGTTGTCTTTATAACCCGCTAAAACAATTAACCAAGGAGCTGATTCGCTATAACAACATAATGAGGCTTACAAACGACTCAAACATAGATGTTTGGGTCGTCTTTATAACCCGCTAAAACAATAAGTATGGTAAGAAAGAAACTACAATCTTTGACATCATCAAAAATTCTACAATGACAAAGATCTGACAAACGCTCCTAAATGTAAGAGCTAAAGACCGATAAAAAACTTGCTAAAGGCCAGGATGGTTAAATGAAGCATTAAATCTTGACGATGTCTTAACCTAGCTTAAGCTTGATAGCGCAAAATATATTTTTTCAGTATGCATGACCTATATAAGCGAATTGAGCTGATAAAAATTACCGAATGCTACTCCAATTAGCAGGTACTCTTTCGCAAGATTTTTCCGTATGAAGAGATCAACAATTGATTAAATGGTATTTTTGGATAAGCCAAGGCCAGTACAAAGTTGTGTCAGACATCAAGTGCTCATGGAGCTATATCAAGCATGGATTACTCGAAAAAACGGTAGCAGATTATTGTAGCAAAGCTTCTCATGCACTAAGTGCAGAGAAAGACAAATGCTAAGAGCTTTACGTCTCACGTCTGACAATCCTCTTAAGGCTAGCTTTAACAAGCTTGTTATTTCTGCGTCCGCCGTGAGAGCCAGCTATTATAGCCTTCTTAATGCTTCTCCAGGCCAGCTTATCTTCGGGCAAGATATGATCACCGACAGCTTTATAATGCAGCTCGAGCTACCTCCGAAGTGTGTTTTGATGCAATCCTCGCTGACAATGCCCGCGGAACAGCAAACGACTCGATGCGTTTTTTATAATCCAGGTGATCACGTGATGCTACGGATTCCCAAGCAGTTACGTGCCAAAACTGACGCCGTGGTAAAAGGACCATTTCTCGTTCGCGTAGTTCATGACAACGGCACTGTCACCATCGACAAGGGTAAACGACCAGACGCGTGAGCATCTACCGCATATTTCCATGCTAATTCTCACAGATCATGAGGGAAGTATAATATAGGTGGTATCGTGGATGACCTGCAAAAACCATTTGTTTAAACGAGTTGATTGCACCAGTTGATTGAACCAGTATAGTGACTGCACTAGTTTAGTGACTGCACTAGTTTAGTGACTGCACTAGTTTAGCCTACCTAATGTTTCTCCGACTAATATATATTCTCCATTATACTTTCTACGACTTAAGCTCCACTGTCAGCCACGGTCCGGGTCTGTCAGAGGTCAGAAAATGGATAAACTATGTCTAAGGATAGTTTTTGTAACGGGGTTTTACGAAGGAGTGCATGTACATAGACACCTTCCACACCATTGTGGTGTGGCTGTACTTTAGGTAGATTGGTGGGTTGATGTGAACATAACTAAGGTACAATAGGTTCACGTCGTGGCCGAAAGTCACGTGGTCATAGTACTTAGTTTGAGTATTATGGATACATATATGTATATAGTAAGAAGGCTACAGAGCCAGTTAATAGTGACTAGCACTAAGTATAGAGTAGGCGTTTTTATATTAGTGCTAGAAGATAAACATACGAATAAATCAGCTTAAAACCTGATCTGTATATCATTTGCTGCTAGAGCGTATTTTCTTCGGAAAAGGAGTAAGTATCTGTTACACTGGTCTCATAGAGATGTCGCTGTTACACCTAGAAAGCACGAGCTTGTAAATCTAGAAGGAATTGGAACAGATCATTTTTTGCACATTAAGCAATGCCCAAAAATTTGATAGCAAAAAAAAACAGATAATACAGGAAGGTTTCACGTAAAAAAACCCTTCTGCTAACAAATTTGAGGCAAAAAAGACATTTATGTTTGGCATTATAATGTAGATTAAAAGACACTAATCAACTTTGGGTACCTACTAATGCCTAGTTTATCATTTTACCTTACTTCTTGTTGCTAATCAAATGAGACCATCTTTTGATTGCAAATTCGCTATATGGGACAGATACAGATATCCTATTACCAAATTAGGTGTACCTGCTGACATTGATGATCTTTTTCTTGGCATAATGGATGAAGCGCGGCTACACGAGAGGGACCCGTCTTGTCTTGTAGCACGAGCGGATAATCCCGTCCTTAGAAAAGCCTCTTTTGGGCTCATTGTCATTTAGTGGAGGCGTTATTGCTTTTTCATTCGGCAAGGGTACGTCTTAGTGAGATGGCATTTGGTAAGACGCCCGACTCACTATTTACGTTGCCGGAGTCGCCAAGTCCGTTGCTCTGACCATATAAAGTGGCTTCGATTACGACCGAGAAGATGGAATTGAGACGCATCTTGAGAACAGGTTCTGCAGAGTATGAACGCCCGGAAGGTTAATGATTTTTGTCCTTTGCTTGGTCTGAGTGAAGCAAATTGTAAAGTGAGGAATGGGAACATGCGGTGTGTGAGAACAGTTTGTGTTATTTACCAAAAGATTGCGTCTGTCCACATATGATTACTCTACAAATGTTTATGTCATTCTTCAAATATATATGTCACTCCTGAAATGATTATGTCATTCCATGAGCGTCTTTGCCCATCCACGGAAAATATGTGCTCTACGTCTAAAGATTTACCACCCACTACTATGTTGAATTAATGTGATGGAAAACACAGTAAAAATCAATGACCTGTCTATTAGCATGTGCCAGAGGCAATTCGGCCCCCGCCGGGCTCGTCAATGTACACGTGCAAACTATATCCAAACCTCTAGCTACCTAAGTCCTTTCTTTACAATACATAGTAGACTCTAGAACCTTTCTTACAACTCTCGCATAGGTTGAAGCTCTGGATGCAACTTGCACTTCTAGCAAGTATACAGAATAAGAATACAAACTATTTCAGAGCTAGTTGGCTAGCGCAATGATAACCCATCCTACCTGAGCACTTGGCTACAACCCCAGAGAACAATCTGGGAATTGGCTACTGAAGCCACGGTGCTTGATGAGTTAGTTGCAGCGCCTTCGTGTAATGTGTGAGCTTCTGTAGTTATGAAAGGCCTTGTCTTTTACACTATTTACACATCAACAAAAAAATATATTATTTATCTACTTCAGGTATGTTAGCATCTAAGTGCTGCATTATGAACATTCTAACGGTACTACCACGCCGTCCAAATATGAATCGTATGAGTTATGGTTTGTCTACTTGTCTCATCGTTAAAGGTACTTGCCAGCACTTTCTAAACTATTCGTCCCGTACACAAAATGAGAATGCACTTATTACAGTGGCTCTGGAGCATTTACATTGCTCTTTTTTTTACTGAGTCCTAACCTCAGAAGGAGGAGGAGTCGTACGCAATGATGCCACGCGGCTAAGTAAGGTCAAACAATCGGTAAATGTGCACGTCCTATTGGTTAAAATATCTCAGCATCATCAGATTAAAATTTTTTGTTTGTTCTTGTAAGCATCCTATTTGGTGGATACGGATAAGGGAAATTAGACGCTGGTAAGGAGGTATACGACGAAGCTGGAGACGCAAGGGACCGCGCAAGTCTGGCCGCTACGACGCCCCGAGGACGATCGAAGACGGTATCGTGCGCTTTCCAATGCGATGACCCAGACTGGGACGCCGATGTCCTCTCCGACGGTTATCGTTTTTGCTGCGAGACAGACACAGCCCCCAGCCGAGCTGCAGTCGACGGACTTGCCGACAAGCGAACGGGAGGGGAAACGGGCAGGTCATCAGCGGGTAAACTCCCCCCCCGTTGCTACACCGTCCGCCATTCTGGCGCGTCAAGTGGCGGATGCGGTGGGCCGTCAAATGGTTTACGCAAGCTGGTGTCAGAACCCTGTCAGGCGGGTAGCGAAGCGCCGCACTTTGCTGGTATAGGCCCCTAACGGGGAGGTACAGGAGGTGATATAGCCGGAGGAATGGGGATGGTGACGTCGCTGCCAACGGTGACGACGTCGTTGCAGCCACTGCTTGCTCGCGGCCGGGATGAGAACTGCTTTTCTGAATACGCATCGTGCGACGCCGCCTCCTCACATCGACTTCCGTTGCAATAGTGTGGCGAGTGGAACGCTTATCTTCCTTTTTTTTGCAATTGTGTTTTCTGCGGTGCTATTTATTGCTGCAGTCTTTGGTCCAGCCCTGGTACTGCAACACATACATAAATGCAATTTTATGGAACAATCCCACCAAATTTGAATTTGTAATGCATATAGAAGGCTACGGTTGATCTAATGGCGGCCGTCAAGAAGTAGGTGTTCGATTAGCTTGCGTTTTGGTCGCGGCCAATACGTACGGTAGAAGCGCGCCATGCAATGGTTGACGCGTTGGCCGCATTAGAATATCGTGGCGTGGATTGTGTGGATGACGAGGGGCATCCATTTAACGACCGGATCAACGTCACACACGGGGCAAGTTTTTGTATGTTTGGATTATAATGCCGCTCAACTAGTGCGTACTGTAAATAGGTTGTATCCTCCTATTCACAAGACAAGACTACTGCTGTAATTCTGCCTCTAATTCTTTCTGCTTGATCGGGTACACTATAATGTGCTGACAATGACTTTTTTCCATCTATCGCACAGCATCGTAACGGTCTGGACACTTCTTAGAAAAGACAATCTGCACAAGTTGGATGGTACGTGCGCGGAAGCCAGCGGCACAGTACTGCAAGTAGAAATCCCACATACGGCAAAATATCTCAGAGCGGTTAATGTTGCCTTGCTTAAGGTGGCTCTGGAACCGTTCATGCCAGCACATGAGCGTCTTGTCATAATCTGGGCCAAAGTTGTGGACGTCCTCCACAATGAGCATGCGTTCCGAGAAATACATCATCTGTGCGATGGATGGCAGGAAACCGTTGGGAAAAATGTACTTGAGAATCCAGAGCTGGATTGGTACCTCAATGGAGCGGTTAGCGGCAATACCATGTACAAGCGCAAGACCACCCTCCTTCAAGCAACGCTTGATCACGCTGTAGTACTCGTCCAAATTCTTGTAACCTACAGCTTCAATCATGGCAATTGACACGACACGGTCAAACTGGCCATCCATCTGGCGGTAGTCGCAGTACTCGAAGCTCGTAAGACCGCTCACACCCTCACGCTTGGCCCACTCGCGCGCACCTTTGAGCTGCTCATTGGAGATAGTAATGCCAGTAACATGCACGCCATATTCCTTGGCGAGAAAGCAGCCAAGGCCACCCCAGCCGCATCCAATCTCGAGTACACGCATGCCCGGCTCGAGCTTGAGCTTCCTGGCAATCAGGCGCAGCTTATTACGCTGCGCTGCGTCGAGGTCGTACTTGTCCTCGATGCCCTTCCAATAGGCACACGAGTACTGCATGTATGGGTCAAGCCAGAGCTTAAAAAAGTCGTTGCCCAGGTCGTAATGGTGCGCACCAACAATACCAGCGCGCGAGGGCGACTGGTAGTTGAAAATCTTACCACCTAGAGCAACAAACTTTGCATTCCACGCCTTGAAGATTTGGCGGCGTTTGTCGGCGGACAGCGACAGGAGACGTGTAAGCAGCTCGTCGAGTGGAATGATGGCGTCCCATTTCTTAGCCATGTAGGACTCGCCAATGGCCAACATGCCACGATGTACCCAGTCGAGAAAAATATCCTCATCATAGATGCGAATGTCTCGATCGATCACGATATCAGCGTCTGCTAGCATTCCTTTGAAAAACTTGGCGGCCCGTGTGCGCAGCACAGGACGCATGGCTAAACGCAACAGGTATGTGCCGGTAGTCAAGCCTGTGACTATAGAGGCGGCAATTAGTGCTGTTTTCTGCTTGTCCGACATGGTAATCGTGACTTGTGTAGATTTAGTTGAAGAGAAAACTCTGCGTTGTTAAGGTATCTTGAAACTGAGCTACGTGTGCGGCGATAGACGTGTGTTGGGCTTAAATGTCCAGAATCGTAGGGCAGGTGAGCTATTAAGGATAGAGGGAGCTTTTTGTGTATATTTGACGTGAAAGTGGTTTTCTCGAATCACAGCAAAAAGTATTAAGTCTCAAGGGCTTACGTGCTTGAGTATTATTATCTTGCGTACGTTTAGAATGAAAGACACAAACTGATCACGAAATCATACAATGGTAGTAGTTTTCTTATTACGTATCAACATCATGTAAAACCCATCTAGTTTGGAGTATTGACGATATGCTGAATGCTTGGGCACTTGTCGTCTCGGTTCCCATTTCCAGCTTTTTAGTGCTGCCACTTTGTTCACGCTACTACAATGGTCTCCAACAATTAATGCAATAAGCGATTCACAAGATTTCGTATCCGATTTTGTTTGAGACTAATGAATTGCAGTTTGACGAATGCTGACGATTGCAATGATGAAGACGACGTTATTGCAAAGTATTACATGTGCAATACCTATTTATACAGCATTTCGTCTGAAATTTAGTAGTTTTATTGCTTCCTCAGCGAGAGCCTGTGCTTGTGACAGCATCACTGTATCCATTCTAGCGGACACCGAAAATCCTGCCTAATCGCATACCGTTGATCCTGGATTCATAATCGGTTTACCTACGTCAAATAAACTATATTAGCATGGGCGCTAAGCAGTCGCGGGTGGCAATGTCAGAGCCGACATCAGAGCTAGGTCTAGAAAATGTACACGAAGGGGAAACGCAAGCTTCTATCCGCCTGACACCAGCACTCATAGCCCAGCTCAACGGCACGCATGCTGTCTCAAACACAACGAAACAGGCAGTAGACGGCCTCAACCCGCAGTACGGGACTTTTTACATGTATACTATTCTAAAACGTTCTGATACCGGTATTCTACTGTTGTAGACAACAGGCGTTCATTAAGAAGCAGCTACAAATGGCTTATGCTAAGGTGTTATAGAAGTATCAGTATCTTTACAAAAGAAACCGAGCTGTATGTCGACTAACGATGGATCTGTGAGCTTGTACAGGGTGCAGATGATTACCGCAAGAAGATAGAGGTGGATCTGCAAAAGAAGAAGCAGGAAGCGACAGCTACGCCGAGTCTGGCGCAGCAAGCGCAGTTTGCAAAGGAAAAGGAGGAGCAGGAGAACCAGCGTGTGGAGCAGCTTGTGGCCGAGGTTTACAAGAAAAAGTACCGTGCACCGCTCCGCGACGTACAGTGCTCGCCCGAACGTGATGCATGCTTGCAGTGCTATAGAGAGAAGAAGAGCGACGTTTTGAAATGCAAGGAAGTGGCCGATGCCTTTGTTCAATGCGCTCGGCAAAACACTGAGGTGTGTAAGCAGTAGTGAGTTGTTTAACTCTGATATTAATGTTTTGTGGTGTTTGATGGTTGCAGAAGTTTGTTGGTAAGAACTAAAGTCTTCATTCAAGTGTTGTCTCGCAAGCGAAGATCAGAAAGCGATACATTGAAATGGAAGCTTGGTAAATACGGAAGAGAGAGTATTGTGCGTTAGAATACAAGATTGACAGACCCACGACTGCAATATATTAGATGCCGTCCTTCTTTTCTGAACACAAACTTACCCTTCTCATAGTATGATTGCTTTTACTTTGAACGTAAAGACTTAAAACTCATGTCTGAAAGAAAATTGTGTATATATCAATGCAGATTGTCACTACGTTTTCGTTTTTTCTCCTCTCTTTATTCTGCCAGTGGAGTCTGTCGTGCGTGATAGGTTCGTGCTTGTTCTCGACATTCCATATTTACTTCTCGGCAAAAATGTTGCCAATCATGCCTGGGCGAACATAGTCTTTAGGTTTGCCAATCTCGGCACCAAGGCCATCAAAGCTGTCTACTTGGATAATGACTTCTCGTGCAGCCTCAACTTCGTCGATAAACTTCTGCTCGTCAATAGTTAAACTACGCTTCTGCTTACGAACTGCAGCAAGCGTACGGTCCGCCTTCACAGCCTTCGGCAGCGTCGCGTTCAGAAGTGCCACCCGGTCCTCAGGGTCTTTCGATACAAACACGTTGTTGCTCAACAAACCACGCACGGCAGAGTCCGTGGAGATCAGCTCAGAAACCTGGCGCATCTGCTTGTCTGTAGGCGAGCCGTATGGCAAGCCAAATGGAAACGACACTCTGCGCATGATTGGACCAATACCTGGCACGGGAAAGTTTTTGCTAATGCCAACAATGCCCTGCTGTGCTTCATAGCAAAGCTGAGTCATCGCGTAGTCGAAAATCACGTCGATGCCATCAACGTGGCGGTTATTCTTGTAAAACCACATTGTCGAGTATCCCAAGTACAGACTAGAGAACACATCCGCAAACCGACCCGAAATCATCTCAGCAAACTTGAGCTTACCACCAAGCACCAACGACAAGTCTGCGCACGTAGCAAAGTTTTTCGCCAGCTTGTCCATCTGAGATTCGTAATGTGCAAGCAGACCGCTCTGTTTTTTAAAGCGCGAGCGCGTGACAGCCGTCTTTAACGAGCCGGCCGTGTTTGACACACCATGTTTCACAAGCTTCACCAGCTCCTTTTTGAATCCTTGAACGTCGTCACCGTGCTGGATTGTCTTTATGAGCTCGTACAGGTGAGGATGGGCGCGAGTAAGACCTTGGCCAAAGATGATTAAGGAGCGCGTCAAAATGTTTGCACCCTCAACCGTAATGACCACTGGCAACGAAGTGTAAATGTTCGCGAGAAAATTGTTGGGACCCTTGCAGATACCAGCGCCACCAAGAACATCCATAGCGCGAATTACTGTGTCACGACCACGGTCCGTTATTTGTTGCTTGCATACACCACTAATGACAGCAGGCTGTTCATGCTGGTTGATCATAGCGTTCACCATATGCTGACCACTTGTCATGATGAAAGCGTTGGCACCCATGGTAGCAAGTTGCTCTTGAATGCCTTCCAGACTGGCAATCGGAACCTTAAATTGCTTGCGAATGCGTGCGTAGGCACCAACAGCGTTAATCGAAAGCTTCGCGCCGGCAACTGCCGACGCAGGTAAGCTGATAGAGCGACCTTCGGCCAGGCAGTCCATAAGCATGTTCCAGCCGTAGCCAACACGCGTCTGCCCACCAATAATCTTCGACATTGGAATAAAAACGTCCACCCCCATCACAGGACCGTTCATGAACGGAATCGAGATCGTATCGTGCCGTTTGCCCATCTGAAGACCAGGGTGGTCGCGTTCAAGAAGAGCCACCGTAATGCCCGGGTGTCCCATACCTCTCAGCAATCCTTGTGGGTCTTTCACATCCACAGCCAGCCCGACGCAGGTAGCAACAGGTGCTAGAGTAATATATCGCTTGCTAAACGACGCACGAATACCCAGTACACCATCTTGCTCACACACAATACCGGTATCACGCATATTAGCAGCATCTGATCCCGATGATGGCCCCGTCAGACCAAAACATGGCAAGTGCTTGCCGTTCGCCAAGCTAGGCAAGAAGTGATTCTTCTGTTCATCTGTTCCATATCGAAGCAACAATTCGGCAGGTCCAAGGGAATTAGGCACGCACACAGTGACAGCAGCAGTGGCGCTACGAGTAGCAATCTTGGTGATCACGACTGAGTGGCCATGCGCACTAAATTGCTTGCCACCGTACTCCTTTGGAATAATCATACCAAGAAAACCCTTTTCCTTGATAAACTGCCATACCTCAAGTGGCATGTCTTGTTTGCATGTAACATCGTAATCATTGATCATCTCGCACAACTGCTGCACCTCAATGTCCATAAACGCTTGCTCTTCTGCATTAAGCTGTGCCGAGTACTTGTCAAGCTTGTCCAAAGAAGGAGAGCCCGAGAATATGTCACGGTCAAAGCCCACCGTACCGCTTTCCAGCGCTGCCTTCTCCGTGTCAGACATGCGCGGCATCACACGCTTGGCCACCTTGTACAACTGTTTGGCCATAAATGTACGCGTCTGCATCGTCTGATGCAACACCTGTACGGCAGGTAACGCCGAGCGTGCCGTCGTCACAAGTTGGAGACCACCAATACGTGTTGTGCTCTTAAGTAACACTGGAGACAGCATAGTAAAAGTAAGTCAAGTTCTTGTGTTGCGTTGTCTATTGCGTCGATTCAGAAATGCGGTGTGGATGCGACTGTCGGTTGAAGTGCGTCCTCGCATGTGATTGGTTGAATTCGTTCACGTCGGAGCTTACCACAATTTCCGACGTGAAAAATTGGACGTGGCCACTAACACCGGTTTTTATACCGATACTTAGCCTCACGAAAGATGTCGCGCACACGTGTGTCTCGACTGATCCCGCCGCTCACAGGACAATGGCACAAAGGACAACAAGGTCACGTAGTGGCATGTATTGTATTGATTGTAACTTTTTTGATCTAAATGGTAGGAAGTTTTTGATGCAATTTTTATAGGTCGTGTGGGCGTACTTGGAGGATCTTTTGAATACACGGGGGCTCCATTCTACGCTGGCGTCTCGAGTCTAAAGACGGGAGCAGATTTGTGCCATATCTTTTGCGTGGAAGAAGCTGCAGTTCCTATCAAAAGCTACAGTCCAGAACTTATTGTTCATCCACTGCTGCGTTCAGACACGTCGTTAACGGGGTTGGACGAGTCACAACGCGCTGAAGTTGTGGTTGAAGCGGTTGCGAAGATTACACACGTATTGCTGAGACTAGACGCACTGGTGATTGGTCCTGGGATGGGAAGAGATAACAGTGTGCAAGCTATTACTCGTCAGATAATTGCAAAGGCTATAGAAGCCAATTTACCATTGATTCTCGACGGTGACGCTCTCTATTTCGTCAGTCTAGAGCCAAACATAGTAAAAGGCTACAAGAACGCAATTCTTACGCCAAATGCAGTAAGTGCTGGTATATTTATAGTAGTGAGCGGTGTGTCCTGCAGGCATTGATAAGTCCTTTGATTAGATGGAGTACGCACGATTGTGTGCCACAACTCAACTGTTGCCGACCATTGATGTCGCTCAAGCTATGAAGATTCCACCGGACCAACTTAGCAAAGCGTACGTATCGATTGCTGAGGCAACATTATTTTGGGCTTGAGCTTATATTTGAATGTTCTGGGCTTGAACTTATATTTGAATGTTCTGGGCTTGATACTACGCACATAGCTTAGGTTTTACGGTGATTATTCAGAAGGGCAGTGTGGACGTATGTTCAGACGGCACGATCAGTACGGGATAGCTAGTCGATTATGTTCTCTTGGTTTAAACTGATAGGCTTTTTGCCAACAAGCTGGGATTACACTAACTCATCTTCATGTGTATTGGTAGCGCTGAAAAATAATGAATTTGGATGTCCACGTCGGTGTGGCGGACAAGGAGATGTATGGCGCCCGGTTCAGCTCGTTCAGAAAAGTGATTATTGTCTTAGATACTTGACTATTTCTGTTTGCATAGATTCTCTGTGGATCCATTGGCACGTTTGCAGCGTGGGCAAAGCATGCTGACTTGTACGTTGTCGTAACTATTAACTCTTACGTGCTGTGCGATGAATGCTTCTCTGACTATTGACAAAATGCTCTTGCTTTACTTTGCATTGGCTGCAGAGATGAATTTGAAGGCAATCCACTCTTGCTAGCTGCTTATGGAGGTTCTCTCGTGACGAGAGCCAGGTTTGTAGCGCTGTCATACGTTTGATTTGTTAGCACTTACCCTGATTGTTGTTTTGAAGTGCGTCTCTTGCTTTCAATGAGTTCCAGCGCTCAATGACGGCGCCTGACGTTTTGCAAAGCGTAGGGAAAGCATTTGTCACCGCGTTCCCTAACTCATGTGACCGATCAGGCATTGCGTAGATATTGAAGATGCCTCAGTGTTATTGGAAACGCAGTGCATCTTGGTGATCTATTTGGTTTGTAAGCTTCATTCGAACAACGCTGACGGTGTTGCGAGTAAATGTGAGATGAGTATCGTACACTAGCCAACGAGTTCCAAGGCTTACGAGCGATGGCAAGAGTTCTCTCAAACAACCCTAGCTTATGTCAATATATATCCAGGCTTCTGTCTGTCTTGCCCTCCTTTTTGATGAAATCTGCGCTTGATTATATCATGATTAAATCATCACGTTACCATGCGTCTCGGACTAGCCTAACACACCGTGTTTATAATCGTATTGTAAAGATCACCAGCAAGCTTTTTCGTCGACTTTTTCTCGGACAGCGTCAAGATGTCACAAAGAGTTTCAGGCAACCGAGGCAGCTCCAGACTAGCGTAGCAATCAAGAATTTTTATCAGTAAGCAAAGAAAGTCCACTAGTCAGCAACATTGTTGCCCTGCCTACACTTACTCTTTTAGAGTCTGGAGGTCGTCTGCAAAATTCAAGATAGTGTCGATGGCATAGCGGACAATATCTTCGTTGTCATCTTGAAGCATCGACTGCAACCCTGTAACAAACTTTTCTTTGAGAAGGTGAGCAAAAGCACGGCGGTTGAAGTCATATTGACAAAGCTCTTTCAGCCGCTTGGCCACCTCGAAGCGTGTAATGGGCGGGGAATCCGAGTTGATTTCGCAAAGCAACATCGATAGCTCTTGCGAGTCCACCGAAATAGATCTCGAAGAAACTTCATTCGGTGTCGACCAATCCGCCATGATGTCAAAGCTGCGACGCAAAGAAACAGCAACCAAAGCCGAGCGCAAGACGACCAAATTGATGTTAAAGGCAGCCCATAAACGGTATAACATATACAGTCACTCGTGTTAAGATAAATTCCTCCTGCCCTCTGTGTTCAGCAGAACAGCGTTGCACCAGACACATGTAAAGCAATGAAATGTGTGAAGGCAAGTAAACCAACCTGAGCTCAGGCAGTCCAATCAGATCCCTATCAATTGCTCTGCACTCCATGCGAATGAAATCTGTTAATTCAAGAAATTTGAGCTCGTCGCCCTGTAATAGACCAGTATGATCGTAGTATCAAGTTGTACGTGCCAAGTTAGCCAACAGAGAAAGCCAGAGCAATAACATGCACATCAAAAGCATACAAAACGCACCGAACGCAGATTAAAATCAACGCGAATGATAGATTTGACCGCCAAGCGATGAAACTGCACACCAAAGAAAACCTCCTCCGCCGCGATCAGAGCATAGGCGTCCATCTAACAGCAAAGTCAACATACAACGCGTCAGCGTTCAACCAAAAGGACGCGAAAAGGTTGCAACCGACCGTCCAATCAAGATTACACGAAAACTCGATATCTTGTGAGCTCATGGCTTTGTGAAGACTACGAAATATGATATCGGGAGATTCACAGGACTCGAACATAGGGTTTACTAGATGATAACCCACATCTTGTGCGTCTGGTATCTCTCCTGTGGGTACGAAGACCTGTGACGCATGGCTGAGCTCATCTACCTCATGGCCTCGTACAGTTGAAGAACCATCTTCCAGATCCTGCAGCGTGGCTGGGCTTGTGGTAAACATCACTTTTTTAATAGGTGCTGGTGCCAAAACATCGTCGTCCTAGCGCGATGTCGCAAATAGATAGATCACTCAACAGTAAGAGAGCAAGAAAGTGTAGCGTTTTCACGTGAAAAGAACAACCCTTTGCACCTGTGAATCAAAGTGTGATGTCGTAAATTGAGTTTCCACATTAACACGGCGATAGGTAATGTCACGATCAGGAATTGTCACTTCGTTCATTCCCTACAAACAGCACAGTATTCACATAGTATTATTTTTCATTTCACACTTATCGTATGCACATAATAATGAGCGTGTGTTCTCGGATACAAACATGCAGCAAATCGTCCACAAGACGCACCTGATCAAGAACAAAACCATCGTGATGTTTCATTTCATCAATCCAGTCGTTTTCTTGATCACTCTTTGACATGTTTGTCTCGTTTTCGTTCTTTTTCGATTGGAAGATGATTATTTGCTATTGGATTCCTTTTATTATTATTAGAAAGGAAAACTTCAAGACCAATACTCACTCTCCTTTTGCTAACTGATATACCTGCTGACAGTCACGAAACGTCGTTAGATTGTCGACGAAATGGAGTATTCTTTGATACTATCGCCATGGTCGTGACGAGCTGATGGAGATTATTCAAAAGATTAGTTGGAGTTGTTCGACAATCTCCTTACGGACAAAAGACGCTCGATTGAATGCTTGACTAAAGCTTTAGTAGCAGAACATTATCGACTTATCTTAGGTGCGCTAAAAGCACTTTCTTGGCCTGGTGTTTACACGTCTGAAAGCAGATCCTGCGTGTTTGCGCTTGTTTCATCCAGTATGAGGTGGTGTTCTAGCAGTTGACCATTTTGCTGCGTGCTAGGTCTTTCGATCCGTGAAGCGAGTTCGTGGCTGTGTGTTGTTGTCGCGCTTGATCTGTTTCGGGACGAGGTTTGAGGGCCGACCACATTTACCATCTCTTCCAGTTTCATGGAATTTGCGCTTATGACTTGATGCACTAGATTTTGAACCTATCATGATGTACAAGACTTGTTTTTTAGCATCGTCTGCGTCAGCAAACTTAGCCCCGAGGGCAACCGGGTAGGAACGGAAAGATGCGCGAGACGGATCAGAAAAAGTGGGGACCATTGTTCATGGTATTTGTGACTGACCAAATGAATCAGCGATGGAAGCCGCTTTCTTCATTACTGAATTTGATGTACCTGAAACAGAGCTGCTGAGAAGATCAATCATGAAGTCGACTTACATGTCCACGATAGTGAAATGTTTCTTTTACTATTCATCAGGATACAAATTCAAGACGACGCATATGTCAAACTCAGTCTCGCGAGACGACCATTAATGCACTTATTGGTAGATTCTTTGACCCGCTGAAATCAACTAGGGACTATAGGGAACTCAACGAAGCCACACCACCACGACGGAGACATTGTCAGAAGTGCCGCGGAAAAGCGCCTCCTGCACCAAGTAATTGGCGATCTGTACCTTCCGCCGCCTGCGCGCAGCTTTGATCATGGAACGATCGCTCGTATACTGTTGTGACCACTCAAAAATTGGAACGCGAGTGTCACTATGACCACCACTGCTCCACGCCTCACGACCGCCAAGCTCGCCGCTCATGACGTCTTGCACAAACTCGACTACCTCGCTACTGGTGAATACATCCCAGAGCCCGTCCGACGCGATCACAATGAACTCGTCCTTGTCGTACTCGATGTCGTACTGTCGAATCTCCGCCTCGCCAATGATGAATGGTCGCGAATCACGGTCTCCGATGGCTCGCGCAACTGCCAAATTGCCATTCACCCGATATGCTCCATACGGTTCGATCGGCTCACCTTGGGCATCTACGTAGCCATGCCACTGCACTCGACCACCTAGAGACTCAATCCTGGCACGTTCCTGTGGGTCATTGGGTTTGTGATCCCGCGTAAGTTCCACCACGTCTCCAGATCGACACAGCACCGCGCGACTATCACCTACGTTAAGCGAATAAAGCACGTCTTCAAACAAGAACACCCCGACTACAGTCGAGCCTTGAAACTTCCATTCATTCTTGGAAATTACTTCTTCATCCAGCTTATGCACCGAATCGCGCAACATTGTTGCGATCTTTTGACGTCGTCTTGATTTTACCATTACATTCGACTCGCCCTTTGTTTCAGCAAAAATTTCCTGATCTAATTGTGCTATCTCCGGTGCTAATCTCGAGAAGAGCTGATCACGTAAATACTGCGACACCGCCGCACCTCCATGACCATCGTATACTGCCGCAAACCGCTTACAAGAAGATACATACGACGTGTCTTCCATGTACGTGCGGTCACCCCGCACCGCTGCAGTGCTGACGACCATTTTGCCATCTCTCACACTTGACTTTCTCTTCCTTAAAGCTCGTTTACTTCTTTTGTTTTTCTTAGCTGCAGCTTGAACATCCTCTTGACGCTCGTTAATGTATTTAGTAATCTCTTCGGGGTTTTCCTTCGTCACTTCTGCCATTTTCTTGTCATCCGTAGCCGCTTCCATCACTGCACATACCAGTCCCATTGCTGCCAATGCCAGACTTGCACACAAACGGCTCTGACCCTTGCTTTGATCAAAAGCAGAAACTGGAAACTCTGGATCTGGACTCGTCCAAGACGACAATGGAGACGATGAAAAGGCACCACGCTGTGTACAAACGGGTAGCCATGACCGCAAGGGCACGAGTGCCGCGCGGATCCTGCGTGACGCATGGGGCTGTCGTGCCGCGGCTAAAGCGCAGCCTCGCGCCCGGAAAACGGTCTGCATAGACAACCACCGCGTTTACTTGAGGAAAGCGGCTCGGTATACGGTAATAAAGTCATAAAGTGGGATGGGGTGAAAACGAAGGAACTTCAACCTGTCGAGATAATAGAGAAAAAATAGAAAAAGACACGTTTTTTTGTATCGAAAGTAATCAAATTTGTATCACATTTGATTGTATTTTTTCCTTTTTTTTACCTAAAACAATCAAAATAGGTAACATTTTATTACTTCTCCAGCTTGGGAATACAGTATTAAAAAGTCTGTCCTTATAGTAACACTATTGCTCTAGCTGCTCTCGTCTAACTTGATGAATATCAATTCACTGTTTCTCTCTTCATCTCACGTTGCTAGCTCTCCTTTGAATCCATGGGTTGCCAACGACTAGGAAGTCGTTCACGTGCAGGACGACCCTTAAACCACACGAACGTAATGATTCCAAGCACGTAAACCAGCAAAAACACGGCCGTGATATACTGCACGCGCATAGACCAAAAGCCAAGATTGTTAGCAATGGCATCATCGATTAGTAATTGTCGTGCCTCAACAGAGAATTGGATTGCCATATCTTCAAGAGACGCGTATATTGTCGAATCAATAGGTGTAAGTTGAGTAGCTGGTCGTCCATCTGGCAATGTGTCCGTGCCAATGTAGTAGCAGCATTCTTTATTGTATGCGTTTACAGCCTGAAAAATGCGATAATTGCGGGGATTGCCTTCCAGGGAATACTCCTGAATGTGGCTCATAAGGCGTGGCTGACCTGGCTTCCCGTCCAACTTGATGGAGTTGCGGTGGAAAAACACAAGATTGCCCTGCACATCGTGCTGAATCATGGCAAGTCCGCAGAATACACCCTTCTCTTCCTGCAAATTTAAGCCACCTACTGCAGGTGGATATGTAATAAAGTGAAATGGCTGGCTGCTGCTAAGCCAAGCTAGTCGGAATAGGTCTTTGTCTCCCCAAAGAAGGTGTAAGTTCTCCAGTAATCGAGGCTGATGTGTCGAGTAATACATCAACTTGTCCAGAGCACGTTTGCTACGCAATCTGTCGATCAATACCTGGCCACTTTCTTGCTCAAACATGTCCACGTAATTCACACCCGTAAGCTGCCACAAAAGACTTGTGTTTGATAACTGAAAGAGCGAGTTGGATGGTTGCCAATAGTCAGGCCAGAAGATAGCACCCGTGCGTAAAAATTCCGGCTCCTCAAACAGATACGTTGGGTCTTTAGCTGGCAAGTTGTCTGCATCTAGCAGCAAAATATTGTCAAAACTACTGTAATACACTGCATACGGCTTGACATGAAATCCCATTGCACGACTGTCGAGAATTGGTCGAACCCGTACATTGTAGTCCAACAGTAGCTTGTATACGATGGGGTTGTCAATTGACATTTCATCTGGTCGATACCATAACTCAACAGGAAGCTCACAACCCTGAACACGCAACATTCGAATAGTAGCATACGCCGACGGCAATATACGATCATAAATAATCATCAACACGCCATTCGTAGGCTCACGCTTGCTTGTCGCCGCAAGCGGAAGTGCTAACGTTGGCGCCACAGGAGTGTGTTTATATCTCTTCGAATGGTATCCAAACTCTGAGAAATCTCGTGCCATATCGCACGTGTAATACCCCGTAGGCAATGAGTCGCACGAGGTGATCATAAGCTTGTACAAGTCGCCGGACGTACGATTCCGTACAATACAATAGCCAGCCATTTGTGTCCCAATCTCTTCCGAGCAGCCTAACAGATCTTTCTCAGGTTCTGCCATTATCTCTGCGTTATCGTTTGTTTTCTCTTGTCTGCATGAATGAATACGCTTCCACCCGACGCATTCAAAGCTCGTGTTAGTCCATGGCGCTACAATAGGCGTCGGCAACATGTGGACACCATCGTCTTTGGTCTCTGTAGCCATTTGATTGATAACAACTTCACGCAACTTGCCAACGAATGGTTCTTTAAGTGTAGATCGTATGCCCATATAGAAGCTGGCAATCACAAGCAAAATCCATTTCTTGTGCTTAATCCGCTGTAAAAGCGCCCAGAGCGAGTAAAACATTACCACAAGACGTTGTAGCAGCATTACAAGGTATAATATAAAAGTGTCCGCACACAAAACACTGTACTAGTCAAAATATGACACGATAATACTCTTGTATCAGGAGTGAAGGTGTACGTACGTGCGTGCGTACAAAACGCACGGTAAAACGACCAATGTTAACGTAGTCTCAAAAAGACTCACGACCTACGGTACTACGACTTGTTTTGGGTGCTTACTATTTTGGTCCCAAACTTACTCAAATTGAGACGTTAAAAAAGTGTAGATCTCTATATAAATGAGAAATGAAGAATACAAAAAGTGCCTTGTATCATGTCGCACAAACAAATCAACATGTCATCATCTTTCGACGTTACTTTTTCTTATAAACACTTGGCTCGTGCGAGACAACAAATCGCTTTGAAATTGCTGAAGCTGCTGCACCAAAAGCTTCTTCTTTTTTTGATACACGCGCATGTGCACGCGCACTTGCATTTGAAACAGTGCGACGCATTGTTCGTGGCTGATCTGGTAGATGATGATGACCAGTACTTAACATGACACGAGACGGTCTTGCGTTCAAATCAGCCTGTGCCATTGAGCTTTGAAGACGGTGTTGATGCACCACGGAGCGAATGGACTGATGAATAGCAGAGATGAAGTGCTTGAGCCACATGAATGGCACTGTCCATTGGACAAAAAGATACACCACGAGCGCTAGGAGCAGATACTTGTTAGGAATCACAATGTGCAGCACACAACTCATGATGAGATAGAGTAGTATGCGAGCGGTATAAAACGTGTCTTCCCAAGAGAACATAAGCTCAAGGTGATTAATGATACTCGACCACCAAGCCATGTTGTTCTGCACTGACTGCAACGTTCGCTTGGTCTCTTGATTAACCGTAACATGAGTCATCTTGTTCATAAGATGGTTGAAGCCCGATGGAAGATTGTATTGGCGAAACGAGGCGTTGCTCATGTTTTCCAGATTTACGTTTGCGGCACCAGATTGATCCTTGTTTTCCTTGTTCTCACCAACAGTTGCGAACGAGTGGAAGTTCAACTCGAAGTAGTTGCGGAGTACGAACGCGATGAGAGCAAGATGAAATACAACCGGCAGCCATTGCAGTGAAAGGCACAGCCATACACAAAGTGCAAAGCACATGAACGAGTGCGTCGGATGCTCCCAGTTGAGTGTTGGCAATATTTGCCATGTCACTTCTAAATACGGCCAGAGGTTATCCAACAGTACCCAGAAATTGCTGTACAATTGTGCTGCTTGGAACTCCGGCCATTCGTATACATAGTCTTGTTCAGACGAAAAGTAGCTGCAGAATTCTGCCATACGTGAAAATTTGTAGTGAAGCAGAACGTGAATGCGCCCTGCACGTGCGTCATTATTGAGTCCTGCGCGGTGAAGCTTTTCCGGCAGCAACAGATCCAGCCACTTGTTATGTCGTCGCTGGTCCATAATCTGCGATAGTGGGATGATAGCTTCGCCCAGCTTTGTTGGTTGACTCAGTTGGCCATGGTTGTACACCTCGAACACCAGCTCAGCTCCAGGTGCATACACATTGTACACGAAAGTTTCATGCCAGCGTGGGTTAAGAGTGCGCGATTTTTTCTTGGTGCATTTAGTGATTTTCAAGTCGTTTCCCCACTCTTGTCCATGCGACCACTTCCCCGTCAGCATCACGCGTACGAATGGATCACTCGTAATCGAGTCTGTCGATGGCAGTCCAATTGCCTCGACTACCTTTACATACAATTGTCCTATATGCACCCGTCCTTCCACAACCGGATTGGGGGGTTTGTTCTGAATCTGACCGACCATGACAATATCATCAAAAATTAGTCGAATCGTAGCGTAAAGTGTTACGACTACCGTACCTCTGCTGACGAGTGCCCTGACCATTCAAGTGATGCAAAGTGCTCGTCTACTGCAGTATAACATGTATTGCAAACCCGCATTGGCTGTAAAGCATCGTGAAAGAAATTAGCAACAAGGCTGGATCTTCTCTTCTAGATATGATGAGCAGCGTACAAACGGGTCCGTAGATGATATGCGGCGCTTATGCGGTGAGCAATTGTGACACACAACATTGCCACAGCGTCGACAGTGATGCTGTAACGATACAATGGTAGAAGTTAGTGCAATAATCGCTATTGCAGTACTTCATATAGAGCACACATGGATTCCCTACTTTACGTGTAATCATGGTAAAGGGCGTGTTGCAATGCATACAGTTGCTAGTCTCATCATCATATACCCATTGTAATGCACAATCACTTCCATTTTCAATCGAGCTCACGAGTGCTGTATTACGGCCTTGGTTACGCATTGCAGCTGACGGGAGACTACCAAATAATGTAGCCATGTCTGATGACGGTCGCTTTGGCAATTGATGCAGGAAGTGCAACACTCAATCATTTGATTCGTTGAAATTGTTTTAATTTCAGCAAATAGCAGATGTCTTTTCTTGGGTCGGTAGCTCGCACACGTCACTAATCAAATTAATCACCGAGCGACTAAGGACCAATATGTCATCGCTGCGGCAGCGTAAGGGCGTTTCAACCAATGCATCTTTATCTACAATCGATAGTGTATCGTCTTCTGATTCCAGTGGTACTCTACTATCATCTGTAGACGATGTAGATGCCAAGAAAGATGAATCCGAAACAAGAGACTGGCCGTCCATTTTGCTATTATTACTATTGTACACTTTACAAGGTATTCCTATGGGTTTATCCAGTAGTATTCCATTCATCTTGCAGGAAAAAGTGGGTTACGGAGACCAAGCAACATTCAGTCTTGTGTCTTGGCCTTTTAGTCTTAAACTGCTCTGGGCGCCATTCGTAGACTCGCTCTACAGTGAACGCTTTGGCCGTCGCAAGTCGTGGCTCATTCCCGTGCAGTTTACATGCGCAGCACTTATGGTGATCGGTAGTTGGTTTATGAGTGATCTACTGGGTGAAGGTGAAGGTCAGAAACCGCATGTTGTTTACCTTACGGTCTTCTTTTTTGTTCTCTACTTCATGATGGCCACACAGGATATTGCCGTAGATGGTTGGGCCATTACTATGCTCTCTGAGAAGAATGTGGGTCATGCATCTACGTGCAACACAGTGGGTCAGACAATTGGCTACTTTATGGCGTATGTGGGCTTTCTGGCCCTTAACGACCCAGCCACGTGTAACAACTACTTGCGCAGCGAACCGACAGATGAAGGCATTGTGTCGCTGTCAGGTTTTATGAGCTTTTGGGGATGGGTCATGTTCTTCACCACACTAGGCGTGTGGATCTTTAAGCATGAAAAACCTGAGGACGAGAGTAGCGAGCGGTTGAGCATTGCTCAGACCTACTCGCAAATGTACTCGGTGTTGCGTCTACCAAGTGTCGTGTCGCTGTCAGTGGTACTGCTTACGAGCAAGATTGGATTTGCCGCTGCAGAAAGTGTAGCATCGCTCAAGCTGGTAGAATATGGTATGAAGAAGGAGAAGCTGGCATTGCTGACGCCAATACTCATTCCGCTCGGTATCGTGATCCCGGTGATGATCGGTCGATGGATTAAACCGTCACAACCGCTCAATCTTTTTCTTTGGGGTTATCCCGTGCGACTAGCTGTGGGACTTTTGTATGCTGGGCTAGTGTATATTACACCTACGGCTATGGCGCAGGAGGAAAGTTCCCACTTTATCTTCTACGGTGTGATTCTGCTAATTGGTGCGCTGCATGAAGTTGCAGCCAACATGATGTACGTCCCGCAAATGGCCTTCTACGCTCGTATCAGTGACCCGTCCATCGGTGGGACATACATGACTTTCCTCAACACGATCACGAACTTGGGCACTAAGTGGCCTAACTCGCTTAGCCTTGCTTTTGTGGATCATCTTACCACGCGCGAGTGTTTGGGCGGCCACTTCCACAACGAGGTGCTGGACATTGGATCCCGCACATGCTCGGATGCTGGGCAGCGCGAGGCCTGTGCTGACGCTGGAGGTGAGTGCCTCATCGTGCGCGATGGCTTTTATGTAGAGTCGATCATTTGTCTTGTGATCGGCGTCGTCTGGCTGCTCTTCTTTTACCGTCGCATCCAATTCCTGCAAAATCTTAAGATCGATAAGTGGCGCGTGGATAGCTCTGCTGATTAGTATCTTGCAATAGACTCTTCACCTATGAAGCCACATACTTGTCAAGTTTTTCATGATAATAAGGAGAAGAGATGGCCACGCATGAAACATTATCGATGTCTTTTGTCCTTCCACCGGCGCATTTTGCTCGTGGAACAGTCACAAACGGCTCTCCTCAGCGCTTGTGCTGTTGTGAGCAGCACCTGATACATCATTGCAACCGACAATCCGAAGTTTTAAAATTGCTGTACATATTCCAATTGCGACGAGCGCACAAGTGAGGACTGGAACACGTCGCGTGGTGCAAAATCTAGACGGGGCTTTTCCTTGGTGCCGCAATCGCGGTACGCAGACTCAAGGTTTAGCTCAAACATCTTGATCACCTTCGCCATGTCTTCGTCATCGTCATCTTCAAATTGTGATTCCTTAAACACTGCACTTGGGTTTTGTCGTGCCAACCGGACTTTTTCTTCCAAAGTCTGTGGTTTGGTGCTCTTTGCGTTTTGACAAATTGATAATTGTGTCAAAGTAGAATCCGGTGCTTCTTTTTCTTTGTCGCTACTGCTCGACTCCTGAGTCAGTTTGCCTGACCCTGTTACACTTGGCTCAACTGCAGACTCTAGTCTTGTGTCACATTGGACGGAAGTACAAAGCGACTTTTTCTTTTTGCGTTTTTTGCGTTTTTTTTTGCTTGAAGTGACGCTATCGTTATTGGAGCTACCACGGTCAGACGAGTTCTCGCCGTGAAGATGGCAGTGCTGCTTAGCAGCTATTGTAGCTTGGTGTTGTTGAACCTGGTTCGGCGTCGCATTCGAGCCACTGCTGCTGCCGTTAATGAAACTTACTAACTCATCAACGCTAGGCTGGTCAAACTCCACCAGCTCATACTCTTCTGTAGAAAGGTCATGGTCCAGGGAATTGAACATGTCAAAATCAAATCCTGCCATATCACTTCGCAGCTCACAACTACACTCAGCATCATCTAGCGCGTCTTCCAGTCCAAACTTTTTCCTCAGCTCGTCTGCCTCAGAGGTTGCTGACATGATCTGTGCAATAGACCGACATGTGAGATCCACCAATGGTTGAATATCCAAGTTCGATGCGACTTTAGCCAGTTCGCACAGCTCTTTTGACTCAAGACTAACAAACTCTTCCTCCCATTCCAGCATTGCCGTTTCCACGCGATCCACTTGCTGTTTATACAAACAACTGCACAAATACGATAACTTAGCACTACACATACAACGCATATATACTCTCTAAGAACATACTGCAGCAGCACAAACCTGCAATATTCTAGTGCACGTTGTACACTTTCTGTTGGCACATCAAAAATACGGATAACGTGTTGATTAACACCGTTCTTGCACTTCTTCTCCGATACATCTGCAACCGCAAGCATTACATGGACCGTCACTTTACACCACCATTTGTATCTGTGCTTTCCTTGTCTTCGTACCTTGCATTAAACCCCAGAGCGTCGATGACATCATCGCTTGCTCATACGTCACGTCAAGCGTCGTATCATCCATGCATTCAAGCTGCAGCCTTGACTGGCGCTTCGTAGCCATCTCAACACCACTTGATTGCAGTTCTCGATTGTTCTTTGCAGTTACAGGATCAGGAAGCTTCGGTTTGCTGCACTTCTCGTTGTTCACGTTCATTCTCATGAAAATGACTTCGGGTTGATACAGATAAAACTAATTGCCAATTTTCAACGATAGGCGACTATCCGCCGCTATATCGACCGTCAGAAATAGTTGTTTAATCTGCTGTGGATCTTATTGGCGATGAAAGCGGCCTAGACACGTGAAGAAATAAATCTTAAAGCCGTCGCCTACGTTCCTTTGCTCTCTCTGTCTCTGTCTATCTCGGTCTTTGTATGTTGATTACTGACTGTATATTTTCCCCTTCTCAGATATGAAGAGAATGTATCTCATCTGATTGGTTAAAAAGTGTGATTTCGAGAGGGGAGCAACTGATTTTTAATATTACTTCAATATAAGGAGGAGGTGTGGGGTCATAGTAGGTGAATAAGCGACATGGACTTGATAGACTGGGCGACTGTAAGCATACAAAGAGTTGATATTACACAGAAGGTGATTATACAACAATGGTGTCAATACCGTATACGTTGACGGCTTGTTGGTGACGAGGAAGAGAATTTGCGAAGTGGACAGGTCTTTCGGCCCAAAACATCCATATCGATTGTTGCTAGAAATGTAAATGAGGCGAACATGGTACGTCTGGCACCCATTTACGTAAATGTTATCCTTCTCGGTGAGCAAAAGAGGATCTTAAGTGCATGCATGCAAAGTGACGTCGTGGATAGAGGCGTCTCTCGCGAGTGTTTCAAGGTGCCGGGTTGCCTCAGTCCAGTAGGCCACAGCCCCTTCCTGTGCCGTCGCCCAGTCGCTGCGAAAGACACTTTCAACAAGCTTGAGGCAGAGGCTCGTGGTCACGACCGTGCACAGCAGCGTCCAATGGCAAGCTCAACTGGCAGCAAAGCCATCCGGTGTGTTAGGTTACCGTCGGGTTAATATTCGTCGAATATGTGACGTGGTGGGCGGCTTGGTTTGAGCTGTACACATGCGCGTTTTTTCAACGTTGCAAGCGCTTAGGCGGTATACATGTGCCTTCTCAGTAGCTGACAAGGTGCGCTTGAGTTGGTAGACCAACAGGTTGTAGTTTGGAATCGGTCGAGGCCCGGCTCAAGGAAACCTATAGATGCTTGGATCTGCTTCAAAGACGAATCTGCTGTAGTTTCGATTGCGGCTGTAAACGGCATAGAGCTCATCGGTCTTATCTTTAGCAAAAGTATGTCCTTGTCAAATGTCCGGTGAATTCCAGCGCTGGTCTACGTCAGGCGGCAGGATACTGTCGTGAGCGACTCAGATCCTGCTGGGCTCCTCTCGATCACGCCCTGGGCGGTGACCTACACTGGAAACCTTGCGTGATCGGCGGGAGCTGCCGAAGCGTAAGGGCACCGGCTAGCAATTTTCCAGCTAGCCGTTATTCAAGTATGAAGGATGGATCGACCCGGGCGGCAGGCACAGTCAGTTCCAGTGCCACTGGTGCTATGAGTAAGGACACTGAGATTCGATACATTGTTGAGACTGTGGCATTGTCATTTGCCTTTTAGCGCGGAATCTCGTTTGCTGCCGTGCATGCGGCTCGGATTGTTGGAATGAAAAGACAATGAATGGATGCAAGAATAGACGGCTATGTATTAATCTATCGGATTCTTGGGATTGCTAGACGCAAACTACATGAGAACCGTAGACTCTTTCCATACGCGAAGTGCGCGCTGCTGAATGCGCGTCGCTTCTGCAAATAGCCCGAGACGTTCGGATAGACAGCGCATATACTGCACGTAAACTTCTTCTTGCGTTGAACCAAAAAGCTCTATCAGCATCTCAAATAGCCTCCGCACCTGCACCACATTAACCAACGTTGCTGAAGTCTCGATGTCCACGCATAACAACAGAAACGAATACGTCTCTGAAGTAGGCAACAATTGCTCGTCTACGATAAACTTGGTATACAACGAGCGAACGTACTCCAAAGAGTGCTGTGAAGTTGCGCTTGCAGCCCACGCCACGTATTGCTGGCGGAAAGCGCTCCAATTTGTTGATCCACGTTTCTGCGAGCCTAGGGCGTTCTTGAATGCCTTTTCAATACTGCTCGGAGTTTCCGCAATGCTAATTAGCAGTTGAAGAAGGCGGCTGTGGATCGCAAACTGCGCGTCGTAATCACCGGTTGCAATTTTTGTCAATGCTGTTTTTAACACAGACACAGCGGCATCCATTGGATTGCTATTCAAGTAAGCTTTCTTCATATCTGAGCCGCGCGAGGTTCGGCGGCGCTTAGAAGAGGATGGGTGGCTTGCATCCACTTCTTCGTAGTCTGTGTGAAGCACGAGCTGGGACTGCAGCAGCCAAACGTCAGGTGACTGTGGAAGGCACACGTCGCAAAGCTTACGCACTACCTCTAACGCATTATTCGTACCATCCGTGCGGTGTACCAAGTCGACATACTTGATAGCAAGAGACGAAGAAGTTGAGTCTGCAAGTGCGAATTCCTTGAGCTTGGCACGGGCATACTCCAGCAAGAACGCGGTCTGATTGAAAGAGGCAAGGCGTGTCACTATCCATTCTGCAAAGAGCTCCTTGATAGAAACAGTGTTGAGTTTTTTGACGCTGGTCTCAAAGCTGTGCACAACCAGTAACTCGGCTTGACGCACAGCCTCGAGCTTATCAGCACTATCCGCTCTCGAAGACTCACTCAAACAAAAGGCAGCACTATCTTCAATTACCAAAAGTGGGCGTAACGCCTTTGCAGCATGCACAACTTCGCTACTTGGAAAGCTCTCAAGGCAGTCCTGCAAAATAAAGTCTGACAGATCCGCAGCCGTGTGCACACCGAACAGATCACGAATTTTTAAAAGCTCAAGCCGGAACATCACATCGTCGGAAATGGCTGCTACAGCATTAGTGTACACGATCTTGGCAATAGCTCCCTGCAGCACAATCTTTCTCGCAGTCATTTTTGCTGCCAACTTAGCCGAAATCTCATCCTTTTCCGCCGATTTCTCCTCCGGAAGCTCGTCAATCAGCACAGCAGATCCATCATCAACAATCTTCTCCGCCTTCTCATCCAGACGCAGTACTTGACGACGCATCGCCAGCTTCTGTACGTACAGCAGTTCAAGACGAAAGTACTCAAGCCAGAGCTTTTGGTTATGCTTGTTCAGACGGATAGCACGTTGCATAAGTACTCGTGCCGAGTCCACGTTAAGATTCACACCAAATTCATACGAAGCTGCTTCGATCCATAGCTCAGCACTACGTGGGTGCGACTGCAGTGCTCTAGAAAAGACGGCAGACAAGACTCGATTGCTACCTTCTCTCTTACAAAATGCCACATACTGCAACCAGAGCTCGACGCTGCCACGATGCTTGAACAACAAGCGGTCAAAAATGTTGTGCACTCGTTTGACGCCTGCCGTGTCACCCAGTGTAACCTTTTCAAGACCTAGTCTCTCCTTACGTGCTGCTCGAAGCGCATCCAGCTTGAGCTCATATTCAATGTAACGCATGGCATCAATCTTGCGCAATGGCACACGGTGGAGCGAATACTCGAAACCACGACGTTTGTCGACAATTTGACGAATTTCGTCTACCGAAAAGATCTTGCGCGTCTGCAGATCTTCAAGCTCTGGTATCATCTTTTCCATTGTAATTTGCACCGTGTCTGCCATACTTGTTATACGTATGATACGAACTTGAACAAGTAGGTCCACGGTGCTCTATGTACGGACAGCTTTTATATCGTTTTTAATGGTTTGAATAGCTGCTAATGGTTGGTGTGTGCATCGTACTTAGTCGATACGTCTGGGTATGGTCCAATCACATATTTGATAACATGTGATGGGGCATGTGTACAACTCTGACATATGTGGCTGGAATCGCTGTACGAATGAATGAATGTAAACAGCATTAGTTTTGTATAGACTTTGTGCTAGAAATCATTGCTTGATTGATTACGAGTGTTTGTTATAAGATAGACACGAGGAGGCCATGAGATGGGCGTGACATATAACGCTATCACTTTACAATTCAGACATTGATTACCAGTTAACAATGCCAACATTCCTTGTATAAGAAGAACCAGGGGACAAAAGTAAATGTAATCTGAACTTTTAGGGTGCAGAGAAAGCTGTATAAGGAGAATAAAGGGAGTGTAAAGGCTCTTTGAGCCTTCAAAGCAACTGAAGTATCTTCTTGGCAAGAAAGAATTAGTTTGTGTTGTACAGATCTATCAAAATGTTACAACTTCTAGCATCTATCTTCTTGCATTGCTGGGGGCTTAACGTGTCAGGATAAATGCATGAACGTCTTGATGATGCTCTCTAGTTTGTTTATACTACTACATGTAAGAGCTACGAGCTAGATCGGGGTGGCAATAGGATAACGCAATGTTGAGTACAGTTAGTAAGTCAATTAAACACGAACATATAAACGAATACGTAGATAAACAGTCTACCACATGTAGGAACAGCAAGTCAGCTGTATCCACAATTTCCAACTAACTTCAAACGGATATGACAGAAAAAGAGAGAACGATACTCTCACGTCCTTGACATCAAATGACGACATGCTTACTTCTTGCTTTTGCATTTGGTGGTTTTAACCGTGGCTGGAAAATCGACAACAGGGGTCTCAAAGGTCTTAAGAGCCTCAGTGGTGGTAGAAAATTCAGTGATGACCGGATGCTTCACCGTGGAGGGCGACGTGGTGGCAGCGAGGGCCTCTAATGCAGGATGAGTGGTCGTTGCTGGAATTACAGTCGTCGCCGGATCCGTGTTTGGTTGTGCTATTGTGTACGGGGTCGTAGAAGCTTCAGCTGCCACGAAGTCCTGGGTCTGCTGCTGGGCTTTTTGATCGGTCATCTGTGAAACGGCGGAATTTCCGCTGTCGCACGTTTCAGTTTCGCCAGTGCCAAAGACCTGTGTCCAGTAGTGCTTGTTCGTCGTGTCGCCACGATAGACATACGCTGCGCCAAGCATAGTGTACTCGCTAGCCAAGATATTGGCACGATGGCCATCTGAGTTCATCCAGGACTCGACAACAGAAACCACGTTCTTCTGACCGACAGCAACATTCTCAGCAATAGCGTCCCATTCATATCCAGTGGCCGTGACGCGTTGCGATAAAGTAGAGCCATCCGAACCAGCGTGGGTCATGTGGTCGTTGACAGCCATATCCTCCGAGTGGCCCATAGCAGCATCAGCTAGCTTGCTGTTGGTACACAATGCTGACAGACCTGCTTTCACTCGCTCTATATTCACTGCATCCAGCATCTCTTGGCGATAGTCACTGTACTGCGCGTACGTTTGCAACTTGCGCTGAGTCGTACGTAAGTTGCTGACAGCCATCACAATGTCCAAAGACACCACAAGGATTGCCAGTAGAAGAACAAGTGAGGATTGTATCGTGGTCATACTGGTTGATTCAGAGTAAATCTGAAGAAGTAGTGAGTGTTGTGATAGCGTTACTCCAAGTCGGCAAGATCGAAAGTGAACAAACGCATCGAGCTGGTGCTGGTTGTGTTTGATGTTTGCACCAAGTGCTTGTCATCTAATATCGTTAGCTATCATGTAGAGCGTCTAGATGACCACTGTTTCGCTGAAAAGCTGCCTGCAAGCAGCTGGTATTTTGGTGGTGGGCTGGTTGGTACTCGTCGGTGCTGCCGTATGTATGTGAAGCGACTAGAACACGTCCTTCTAATCCTTTTGAGCATGACTTAGCTTGCCACAAAAAGCAGTGAGACCTCAGATAGACGTAGGCCGTGTCTTAGCCGAGACATGGACGATAGAATGCAGTAATTTACGGCAAATGAGTGCTGATATCCACTGACTAGTGATGACATCAAGTCAGCAGTGCTGGACCAGCAGGTCACGCATGTAAAATTTCGAGGCAAGTCACTTCAAATCAGGTGACATATGCTCGTTACGTCACCGTCATCGTCCAGCCTGCGCTCGGGCAACCCCAAAGTGAGGTTGGTTGCATTGAGTGCGGGGGGTAGAACCCATGCCGTTGATAAGGTTTTGGTAGAACATTGAAAGTGCCATCAACGTTAGTGATATCGTGTGCACGGTATTGATACTTTGCCGACCGGAAGGACAATCAAATGCATCATCATCGTACGACTGCATGGAGGAAAGCTAGGAGCGGTGTGACGCAAGATGGTACATTGCGCAAGGGAACGTAGTCACTGAATAATGTTGCAGCTAAACAGATGGACATGGCCACAGTGATGAAGTCGAGGATAAAACCCGCTCGTTACATGAAGAACATCCTGAGCCGCAAGTGTTAGCCAATGTTGAGCTTGCACTTGATGAGGTAGAAAGGAAACTGATATTCAAACTGTGCCGTTATGGCCTAGCTATTCCACTTGCTATCTCGCACACTATGTCTCTGTATCTGCCGCTCTTACTAGGTCGACTTACTGTCGCTGCGCTACCATTCGCCACCACTCCGATGACGCGCTTCCTGTCTGTTGGTACGTGCAAAGCTTCTTCACCCATCTTTGCAGTTCCTTCATCTGTCAAATACCCTCTTATACACATGCAAACAGTCGCCGACACCAACTTGATCTGACATGTCGTGCCGCACATCGTGACTCTTCATCTCGATCTTCAACACTCCTCCTTGTCGGCGACTTACACTGCGCTTACACGATGTGTAGCAGTGATCGCAACTTGACCGTCTTGACTGCATCGATTGCTTTGGTGAGTACGTTCGCAAGCATCAGGTCGCTCGTCACACATTGTGGCACCACAATGCCTCGACAAGCGTAGTCGCACAAGTACTTGACTCTCACATCAATGTGCTTGGCTTTAGTAGACGACGCTTCTCCTTCAATCTGCCTGGTAGTCGATGAGCATTTTCATCGGTAGTGCAGGTGACTCACCAATTTGACTCAGCGTCTCTCTCACTCCAAGTAGCTCTCGTCCAGCTTCAGACGCTGCCGCAAATTCCAACTTCATTGTTGAGAGCGTGCTTTTTCAAGCACCAACTGATTATCATTCCGTTTAGCATGATAACGCTACCGGTCAAAGACTTTCTGTCTGCCTTGTCGGCTGCGTAGTCTGCGTCACTATAGCTCATTAGAACAGGTTGTGCAGTTTCTTCGACTGCTGGCTTCGTGCTGATCTTCAATCCACGCGTGCCACTCAAATAGCGCACGATGCGCTTAGCCAATTTTTAGTCATGGATCCGTAGCTCGTGTGTTTGTCTGGTTGCCTTGTGCACCGCAAATGCGATGTTGGGTCTTGTGCACCTCGCTACCCAGAGCAACGATCCGACAATATACTGAAAAGCACGAACGCTAGGTTGACCTGGAGCACCCGTGTCTGAAAGTAGTCCGCTGTCTGCACATTGAATTTCATAAACATTTGTCCCGATAGGCGCACGACTTGAGTTGGCATTGGTCATACCGTGGTCACGCAGAAAGTCGACAGTCGCCTCCTACTGGTCAAGAAAATATCTACGATCTTCGTTGCGCGTCACGCGCATCCCCAAAGCTTCGACACTGGTCCAAGATCTTTAATCGAAAGACTTTCGAGTCTCGCGAAAAAACCGTCAACTGCAACAGCGGATGTTCCAGTCACCAGCAAATCGTCTACGTAGACTCCGACGATGACGACTCGATCGATGTCGCGCTTGTAATACAAGCAGAGGTCGCTGATGCAGCGAGTAAATCCGGCTTCCAATAAACGATTGTTAAGCAATTGGCTCCACAATCGCCCTGCTTGCTTTAAGCCATAAAGACTTTTCTTCAGTTCAAGCACGACATCTTCAATCTTCGTTGCCCCCAGTTCTTTTAACTCTCTTGTATCAATCGTCATGTCCTTGGGAACATGCATCAAAATTTCGAGATGCTGTTCCTTCTCTGCTTTTACGTAAGCATTAGGGACGTCTCCGTGCTTAGCCGGGATGTCCCATGTAGCAGCTAACGCCAAGAATACTTTCACTGTCGTCATGTCCATGAAGGCAGCGAAAGTTAGCGCGTAGTCCACGCCAAGACTTGTTATTACCGCAGACAACGATGCGCGCTTTGTGTCTTTCCAAATCTCCATCGGCAGTCGTCTTGGTCTTAAAGACCCATTTACTTTGGAGAACGTTGCTGTTGCTTGATCGGAGCGCCAAACGCTACACTTTGTTTCTTTTGAGCGCGTCCAGCTCCTCACGCATTGCCTTTTGCCACTCGTTTCTCTTCTTGCTCTTCATTGCTTCGCCATAGCTGCGATGATCTCTTTTGAACTCGTGATTGACGACATCTGCGCAGACAGCTACTTCTTGTTGGCTTGCAGCTGCTTTTTTGCCGTACATCTTGTCACGTGTGGCTGGCGAGTCCACTGTTTCTTCTTCTTGGGCTTCTTGCTCGCAGTAACACTACTGCTCTGTCTCACAGGTGTCTCAGTGTCTTCGTCTGAATCTGCCCGGTCATCGTCATCAAGAGCTAGTTGCAGTTGCCTGTTCTGGGCTTCAGACAACGTTTCAATATTCTTGACATGCTGCGTCGTGATGACCTTGTTTACCTTTCTGATGAATACTCTGAAACCTTTGGTTTCGTCACTGCATCCAACGATCGTGCCCACTTGAGCGCGGCGCGCGCGGTAGACGGTACAGTGGGAGCCAAACACGACGATGTTGCGCAAATCCGGCGATTCATTCGTCAGAACTTTAAGCGGCGACGCTCTCTTAGGATTTGAATTCGTGGAGCTCCTGTTCAAAATATACGTGGAGTATTCAGCGGCATCACCCCAAAACATAAGGGGCAATCCAGACGCGAAGATCATCGCTCTTGTCATGTTTAGAACGGTCTTGTGCATTCTCTCGGCTTTCCCATTCGACGCTTGATTTCGCGCTTTACTCACTTGTCTTGCAACGCCTGTCGATTTGCAGAACAGATCAACATTCTGGCATTCCTCACCGCCATCTGTTCTGAGAACCGCAATTCTGCACTCAAATCGTTGCTCAAAGAACACCAAGAAGTGTTCGAATTTCTTTGCCGCAGCGTCTTTGGTTCGAGCTAAGAAAACTCGACAGTAGTTGGTCTTTTAATCGATGAAGTTGATCAGACATCGGTTTTCGAGTCGATCCGCAGGCGTTAGTGGGCCTTTTTAGGTCCGAGCAAATGACACCGCCGATGCGGTCGATCGGGGCGTTCTGTCCAGAGTCTTTCTGGTTCTGCTTGTTTTTTGTCTGCTTGGATTGTGCGCACGTGATGCATGTCATCCGTTTGTGGTCCGTCAGCTCGATACCCGCGCCTGGATTTCTTGAAATCTTCTCAATTGCATCGTACGACAGATGCCCCCAGACGTGGATGAAAGTGTAGCAGAGAGCCACGATGCATCTCCGAAGTCATTTCATCTGCTGCCTTCTCCTGAATGGCAGCCATTATAACATCCGCTGTCTCCTTTTTGCGTACACTATTTTTCACCGTCTCGACGATTAGCACACTATTCTCCATCGTCACGTCGAACGCGACTTGGTCATCACTCCATCGAGCTACTGATCGCTTGCCATTAGAATACTTTGTCCCTTTTGATCAAGCTTGCCATAGCTGATGATGTTGCGGGCCAGACTCGGTGAATAGTAGACGTCCGTGAGTTTGACTGTTTTTTCTTGTCCATTGGCAACCACGGAGAGTCTCACATTACCGACCTTAGACAGACCGACCTTCTCGTTATCAGCTAGCAAGACTACATCGTTGCAAATATCTGCGTCGATCAGCAGGCGATCGTCGTTCACCAGGTGTCGACTGGCACCGCTGTCGAGTATCCAGTCGTCGTTCACATTGTCTCTGTCGTCATTAACAGCATGAACCACCTCGCCGTCGTTCTTGGAGCTCTTTTTGACGTTCCTTTTTGACCTGCAGTCAATCTTCAAATGACCTTGTTTGCCACAATTGTAGCATGAACGTGTCCCTTTGCGACGTCTTTCATCAGTGACAGCGGCGACTAACTCGCGTCCCAACGTCCTTCCGGTCTTGTTCTCGAGCTCAACAGACTGTGCAAAATGCGCAAGCTCTTCAGCTTGGCGCAGATGATCGTGTCGGTAATTGTTGACTTGGCCATCAAAAGTGTTGTAAGATCAGCCGACGCATAGTGAACAATGGCGTCAAGAACTTGTGCTTCTGCACCTCCACCGCAGGCATCGCATACAACAACCATATACAGGTAGCGTTCAGACCATGATCGCTTGGGATCCTTCCTTTCAGTGAAAAGCTTCATGCTTTGCGACGCCGTGATTGTAGTCTTGAATGTGTGTAGCAACCGGCCCATAGCGTGATCGAGAAAGGCTTCTTCGAGCCACCAAACGTTCACTTGTTTTTGGTAGTACCGCTCTGCTGTCCCAGGTAGTGTCCCAGCAATTCGACCTTGACATCTTCAGCCCATGCAAATCCGCAGGCCTGCTGCGCCATAGTGACTTGGCGCAAGAACGTGCGACCCCAGTCAGCAAAAACCGATCCGAGACCCTGGTACAGTTCTGTACCATCAAACTTGCGAATAGCAAGCTTACGTTGGCGTGCGTCCGGGACACGCAACAGCAACTCCTGTGCCGGTGCCTGCTGCATTGGTGGCACGGGCGCATGAACGTACTCAAAATCTGGAGGCGACACTGGCGCATAGCGCGGCGCCTGTGGTCGAGCAGCGCCCGCTGGCTGTCGCGGACCGACATCCTGTGGACCGAATTACTCGAATAGCGAGTCACCTGGTTGCGTCACGCGAACACGTCCACGCGGCTGCCTCGGAGCATCATATCCTAGCGCGTCACGATGTAGAGTCGTACCGCATATGCCGCGTCCAGCGCTGACGCAAAAAGCCACTGTCGATCGCGCCTCGCAGTCGCTCATCCTCGTCGATATGCATCGGCGACGCCTCGAGCGCTTGCATGCGATCCGTGAGTGCAGTTAGCATTGTGAGAATCCTTTCGTCGGTTTCCGCACCCCTTTCGTGGGCTTGGGTATCTCTAACAACGGCGACCCTTTCGTGGCCGTGGTCTGCAGGTGCAGAAGTCGTCATTTCATCAGTCGGAGAAGCCATTGGGTTTGGGCTCATAACCTGTTAGCCAATTTTAAGCTTGCACTTGATGAGGTAGAAAGGAAACTGATATTCAAACTGTGCCGTTATGGCCTAGCTATTCCACTTGCTATCTCGCACACTATGTCTCTGTATCTGCCGCTCTTACTAGGTCGACTTACTGTCGCTGCGCTACCATTCGCCACCACTCCGATGACGCGCTTCCTGTCTGTTGGTAAGTGCAAAGCTTCTTCACCCATCTTTGCAGTTCCTTCATCTGTCAAATACCCTCTTATACACATGCAAACAGTCGCCGACACCAACTTGATCTGACATGTCGTGCCGCACATCGTGACTCTTCATCTCGATCTTTAACAGCAAGTACAAGATGTTTGGTTACGGCGTAGCGTATCATTTCAGAAGCACGTACAAGCACGTACAAGCACGTGCTTTTACTTTAGGCAGTGACAACTCGTATGAGACCTTAAGGCTGTCCTGGCATGACAATTACGATATCGACTACCGCACTATAAGTACCTTCCTTCTTCGCTGCGACTTGCCACTACTGCTAGAGCAAGAACGTTGGCTTTAGCAGATCGAAAAACATGAATGTTGATACCTGTGCGTACACTGAATAATGTCATGTCTAGGATAAGCATGCAATGCATGTAGATAGCAGTGTTACTCTCGACCAGGGGCTGGTAAATACGTGGTGTAAGCTTGGCTGACGATGGTTCAAGATCCGCAATTCTCAATGATTGGGAGTCAAGAATCTTCACGCATCCGCAATTCTTAATGATTGAGATTCAAGGATCTTCACGCTGTCGTTCTTTATCAACTTGCATCGCTCTCAAGTCTGCATCTCATCTGGTAACTAGCTGCTGGCACTATATCTGGCTCATTTAAACTCAACAATCGTCCGATATTATTTTTTTGCCTTTGCATCTTCACAATGACGTGTGTACACGCTTCGGTGATTCCTCGGCAGGCCAAGCTCAGCAAGCTATCAAAAACTGAAGTCGTACACCTAGCAGACATAAACTCTGCTACTGCTGCTGACAATGACAATGACCTAAGCGAAGCGCTACAAGCTCACAGTGCTCAAGCTTGCATCAAACCCGACCAGAATACTGTCTCCGATGATAACGCCAGGACCACACAAAACCAAGGCGCCACCGAAGCCGCTTCGTTCTTTATGTTGTCGCAATAAAGCTACTGCAGTTTCTAACCACACGTCATTCAAGTCTTCACAGCAATCCTATAAATCAATCAATGAACTTCATTGTTACATGTTCAGCAGCATAATGTATGCATGCACAGCAACATAATGTCGGTACGTGCGTTCTTACTGAAGGGCTGAAAACTTACCCCGTTGTTTCGTTCATCTCGTTCTCATAGCGCAGTTGATCCTGCTTAGCCGCCTCAATCCATGGCACTTTTTGTTCAGGGCTCATGTTTTTCCAGGTCTGTGCGATCTGGCGCATAGCGTCCACCAAATTGGCATTTTTGCCCAGCGACTGCTTCACTTCTACTCGACTGGCAACGCTGAACAGCACGTACGCACTACGTGGTTTCCTCACACTACTCAGCACTGAGCCCTCCTTCTTGACCTTTTTCTCCTTCTTGACCTTTTGCTTCATCGCTGTAGGAGACCATGGAGACCTAGGCAGTCGACCGGGGCGTGTGTCGTCCTGCTCGGATTTCATAGCATCGCTAACATCGCACATGTGCTCCTGCTTGACTACTTTCTTCTCCTTCTTCTGACCGAGTTTCTCCGTATTCAAAAACTCCGCTTTGATCGTCCACACAAGAGCACCCTTACTGGCATTTTCATCAAGTTCCGCAACCTGGCGGATCTTTTTGAGCACGTACGACGGCTGCAATTCGTCATTCTTTTCCTGTCGAATCTTTGCGCAAAAGTCTAGTGCAACCTTAGCCGCATCCATACTCGTTGCTTGCAGCAAGAAAGACACTAGTGCTTCCGTGTACTGGTCAACTATATCCTCGTTTTGGTCACGCTGCTTGCGCTTCTTCGCACGCTTATTTTCGCGCTGTTTTTGCATGCGCTTAGCCTCTTTCATGATCAGTTCATCCACGCGAGCCTGGTGTTGTTTCACATCGGCACGTGCCGCGGCTAATTGCTGGCCAAGTTTGGCTCGCTGCTCCTGCAAAACGTGTCGCATATCGTGCTCCTTTTTCTCGCGAAGTTCCAAGTCGGCATTGTCCTTCTCACAAATACGCATTAACGAGTCACAGCGACGCCCGATTTCAGCCGCCGTACGCGAGCGAAGGTAATAGTCAAACGCAAACATTTCCATGCTGCAAATTTCCTGCTTGATACGATCCCATGCTCCGTATCCAAACTGGTTTACCAGGCACAACAGCACACGGTCCTCCTCTTCAGTATAAACCTTGCCGCCCTTGCCTTGATAATTGATCGGCATGTCCTCCCATGGATTCGCGTAACGCTTCACCTTACGCGCAGTCTCCTCAGTCAAACGCTCAATTTCAAGCAATTTTGACTCGCCCTTTTCGATAGACTTCATGATCTTATGCCAGTCACTCAGCTCTTCTTGCCCACGAGCAAGAAATATCTTCGAGTACTTTTCGATCTCCTCCAAGGGTTTCATCATCTCACGAGCCACAGCTTCAATGTTCCCACGGCCGTAACGCGCAAGTAGCTTGATAAAGAGGAAAAACTGAGGCTTATTCCAATCACTAAAGCCTTCCATTAGCAACCGCTCCTTCTCTTCAAGCTCCTCATTAGTAAGGTATTGTGCATGAGGTGGGAGTGGCGGCTTTTCCATCTCAGCCTTGGCTTGCTCATAGTTTGCGCACTCGATCTCATGAAGCTCTATGAGCCGCTTTCGGTTATAAAATTGCCATTCTTCTAGACGTGGTAAGCGTAACGCCTTGGGCAACTGCTTTTGCTTTGTCCTATGCTTGCTCTCGGAAGGCACGAGGCTATGGCGAAGTACAGTACGCCGCTCGCGCTTACCCATGCCCTCTGCCATCTGCCGAGCAAGCTCTGCGTCTGCAAGACGCTTCAGCTCCTCTTGTCGTTCCTTTTCGTTCGAGTAGTCGATACCATCGTGGTTTTGGCAACCTCCGCCGTCAAGTTTGAAGTCAAGCATGTCACCCTTGTCGTGCACCTGCATTTTTTGCTTCATCTCTTCTGTGCGTTGCTCTCCCTTTGCAAGAATAGCATCAATGTCTTCGTCCGTAATTGTCGAGTCGGTAGTGCGGAACACTTGGTCGGCGCCAAATCGTATCATCTCGAGCATGTCAGTTTTCGTAAGTTTCGTCTGTTTTTCCTGCAGCCGACCTTGCTGTACAACCATAGCGTCCAATTTGAGCTTCTGTTGTGCGCGCTCAATGATTTTCTCCTCTACTGAATCCGCTGTCACCAAGCGGTACACGTTTACCTCCTTCTTCTGGCCAATACGATGCGCACGATCTTGAGCCTGCAAATCAGCTTGCGGGTTCCAATCCGAGTCATACAGAATTACGACGTCTGCTGTGTACAAGTTGATACCAAGACCACCTGCACGAGTGGATAGAAGAAACAGAAACTTGGACGAGTTTGGTTTGTTGTACTCATCAATAGAGCTCTCGCGATCCTCATACGACGTCTGACCATCAATGCGACAGTAATCGTACTGGCGCATCCGACAAAAGTCCTCCATAATGTCCAAAACACGAGTCATTTGGGTAAAGATAAGAACGCGGGACCCGCGCTGCTTGAGCTTCTTGAGCAGCCTGTCCATCAATACCATTTTACCACAATTTTCTACCACGTGCTCCCCTAACGGATCTAGAGACCGGTCCTCCTGCCCTTCAAATAAGTACGGATGACCACAGCACTTTCGTAATTGCATGACAATATTCTGTAGTGCACTGTTGGAGACGCCACTTGATCCGCCCATGATCGTGTTCATATCACGGAGCAATAGGGACTTATACAGGACCTTCTGCATTCCAGACATACCTACAAACAGCAGCGTTTCTTTCTTTGGCGGTAAACTCTTCTCAACATCCGCCTTGAGACGACGCAACATAAATGGACGAAGAATTTTGTGCAACTGGCTGATCATCTGCTTCTTGGCTTCGTCATCATCCACATCCAGGTTGAACCAGTCATCAAACTCTTGTGATGATGCGAACACATCGGGCAGCAAAAAGTTTAGCAAAGCCCACAACTCGTGCAAGTTGTTCTGGAGAGGTGTGCCCGTCAGCAACAGACGATGCTCTGTGTCAAGCATTCGAACAACAGTGGAAAACTGAGAGCTTTCGTTTTTGATACGGTGCGCCTCATCAATGATAAGGTACCTCCAAGCAAACTTGCATAGCGCAGATTTTTCCTTTAGACACATTTCAAAAGTTGTCACACACACATCAAACTTGCGTTTGGCGTCCGACAAACCGGGACAAAGCACCTCCTGCACACATCGTAGGCGTTCCTCTTTGTTGCCATGAAACTTGACAGCACGCAGAGACGGACACCAGCGCTCAAATTCCGTCAGCCAGTTACTCAGCGTTGATTTGGGTACCAGCACAATGTGCGGGCCTGTTATGTTTTCAAACTCGAGGAAGTAGCCTAGCACAGAGATCGTCTGAAGTGTTTTACCAAGACCCATCTCGTCGGCAAGAATACCGTTGATACCTTGGTGTGCAAGGTTCACCATCCAGCTAAGACCTTCCAATTGATACGCTCGCATTGTGCCGAACTTAATCACCGATGGCTGCTTTGTGAGACGCACGCCTACGTGATGCGACGAGTCCATCTCGTCTTCTTCATCTTTTGATATACGTTGCTTGGCTTTCCTTTTTCCTTTTGTCTTCTTAGTGTTCGTATTGTCGATACTTTCTTTATTCTCTCCGTCCACATCTAATGCCGCTCCTTTCTTGCCCTTCTTTTGCACTTGTCCACTAAAGTGAGCAAACATATCACTCTGTGAAAGCAAGTACTTGAGTCTAGCCGATGCAATTTCCGATCTCTTTTTTGCAAGTGCCTCTTTCTGTCGTTTTTCTTCTGCTTTGAGTTCATCTCGTTCATTCAGTTCCTGCTGTCGAATTTCTTTTCTCAATCTCTTGGTCTCCATCTGCTTCTCAGTAAGTTCACGTGGCTGATTCTTTGATCGTATTTCATTCATCACTATTGGATTCTAACATCATAAATCACAATCAACACATACATTCATTACAACTGTATCAGTCACAAAAGCCATAGTACACACAAGTATCAAGTATCATCATCATCTTCTCCTCCTCCTCATACCTTCTTGCGCTCACGTTTGCCCTCTACCATACCATACATTTCTTCTCTTTTCTTTGCACGCTGTTTCTCCACCTCTTCATCACGTACACGACATTCATCATCATATCGTTTCTTATCAAGGACAGCAAGTTCTACAAACTCTTGACGATCTTCAGTCGATAGTTGTGCCCAGCGTGCACTAATTTCCTTTGAAAGACTACCAAGTTCCATGGATTCATTTGCCTCAGCTGCTTTCATACTTAATTCTTGCTTAGTATCATTCATTATGCGTTTTTGAAAGAATTGGTAAGCACTCTTGGGCTTTGTTAACTGATTTGCACCTACTTCACCATTCTGGAATTGCGCTTCAACAGCGACCCAATTGCTACGGCTTTCTTTCTCTTCCTTGTTGTTCATTCTGTCTAGATAACTACTTGGCTATAGACACAGACGGAGAAAGAAAGAGAGAGCAAGCGTGCGAAATCTACGTCTTCTACTGCTGGGTGGTTTAAGTAGCGTCAGGTCGTCTGAAGGGAACAAATTATTTTAAAAGAGGCCCGGATATGATCATACTTTTTATATTGTACGTAGTACATATTAGATTTGACAGATTATGCTGTACTGGATAGACTGCTGCTTCTTTATGTAACATAATGGTAGATATTTATAGTATAGCTTTATGCAGGGAGGTCAAGAGTGAAGATCAAATGTGTACTGCAACTTTCTTTGTTGCATTGATTGTTCTTACCTTCTTGTCACATTTACTAACTCCAATTTGTTATCTCAATAAATAATAATAGACAACTACCAGGACTTGTGATGATGGATACGTTTGACAACAACGCAGCCATGACACACTCGAACGCTGCAATCGCAGCTACTTCAAGCCAGTGGGATTCCTGTTCATCACATAAAGACTGTGACTCGTGTCTAAACGCTAGTCTCACGTGTCATTTTTGTAAGAATGACTTTCAATGTCATGCTATTGGATCTCCCTATGGTTGTCCCGTAGGTGTCTCTGTCTGTCACCATCTTGAAGGTTTGATGAAATGATATACTTCTTGGAAACTGTATCACTTCTTTTAACGTTATTACGCTGTTCTTTTGGCTGCAGATTGCAAGCGAACAGATCCACAGTTTGTAGGCTATGGACCTCCACCGTCGGTGGTTATTGCAGTGCTCTGTCTCATGGTGACGCTGACTTGCTGCTTTTGTGGCGTTTCAGCCATTTGCTCGATCTTTTGTCGGACCAAAAAGACATCGACACGACAAGCTAAGCTCATGGCTGCGTTGGATAAAGAAAAGCAGAAGAAGAAAGCAAAAACGACGCTTCGGTGCGCTTAATTTTGTTCCATTTGGTGGACACTTTTTTCTTACCTGCTGATTGTCTAATTGGTTTGTTGTTGTTGTGGTTGTTGATAGCGATGTTGATGAAGAACAATTACAGGCCCAAAAGCAGCCTCTGCTTGTCGGAGAAATTCGGGAAGGAGAAGTTTTGCTATTTGAAAACGAAGTGGATCAGGAATCTCTAGAGCGTCTACGTACCCGCTATGAGGAAGACGAACGGCAGATTAATTGGCAAGCATTTGCTGCACGGTTCACGTGGCTCACCGTGTTGATTTCGATCACTGTACTAGCACTCATGTTCTACCCGCGCATGCCGGACTACAACGTGTGTAACCGCCAGTTCGAATGGGAGTCCATCTTGCACAGTATCATGGGTTTAGAGCCGAAGGTGGAGTACCAGGTGCTTGTGAGCGTAATTAACGAGAATCGCTTTGGTTTCGTGCTGGAATCAGGGCGCGCAGATATTTACCACAATACCACACTTGTGGGCAAATGGGAGCTCGAAAAACCATTAGAAGCCAAGGCTGGATCGATTAGCGATGTGATTGCGGCGATCAATATTAAGCCTGGGTTTGCAGAAGGAATTGCGTTGTGGAAAGATTTTAGCAAGAACGAGCTTATCTTCCGGATCAATGCTACGATCGCGGGGTCCATCACTTGGGGGCGATACAAGGTACGCCACAATGTTTTGTTTTGCTATAGCCATCTTGTAGCTTGACTCGTTCTTGCTACTTGACGCAACAGATTTATCGCATTTCATCCTCTACGCCTGATGTTGAGTTTCTTGTTGGAGCTGAGTACGATCGCAGTCTCTGCAAATGCACTGAGTATCTGACATCAATGTGAGACTGGTTTGAGGTTCAACTGGAACCTTTGTGGACAGTTCTTGCGGTTGACAGCGATGTGCGGTCCATCGCGTACGAGATGTCTACTGAAGACGACTTCTATGAGGATCAGACACGCGCTGTACAGAACCAGCTCTCAATATATTCGGTTACTTGTACTCAAACATCCATCTTCTTCCTTCAGCAGTTCAGCAACTCCCACTAGGCTGGTATGTAACCATGTCATCTCCATGTGCCATAAAAACCTTCGCCAGCATCTCGTCTGCGCAAGCCATTCGAGCTCGTTCAGGGGTCACGGGGCTGCGCAGCTCAAAATATCCATGGTGACTAGCGTCTGCTCTAGCCGTCTTTGACAGCAAAGAAAGCGCTGGAACCCAAAAACAACGGCGGTTCTCCAACGGCCTTACTTGAGTGCACCGCAAACTTATTCTTACGATTGGACTCAAGCCACACATGGAAGTCCAGCGGCACGTCGTTGGCACTAGGTATTTTGCATGCACCGGGACCCCGAGTGAACAGGTTGCTTCTTTTCACCCATGGATGTCCATCATCACCCCACACCAACTCCTCCAACGCAAACAGACCAAATCCCTGCATGAATGCACCTTCAATCTGACCAATATATATAGCGGGGGTAATGCTGGCACCAAGGTCCATCAGGATGTCGACGCTCAACACGTGAAAGTCTCCTGTAAGCACATCTAACTCAACCACGGTGCAAGCTACGCCCGTTGTAAAGTAATTGAACGCCGTACCCACTGCAATATGCTCACAGACTTTGAAAAATTGTAACCGCAACGGTCATTCGGAACGACGTAGAACCCCTGCGCAGACATATTGACGCGATGCATGTAGGCAGCATTCGTGATATTGCTAAACGACGCGCCCGGTCCTAAGCGATCGTAAATAGGTGCAAGGCGTGCAAGTATCTGCTCACACGCGTTCAGCGTCGCCATTCCATATAAATTCGTGCTCATAGAAGCTGCTGATGGTTGTGAATTCGGAACCTTGTTTGTTGACGTTTCGTCGATGTGTATCTGTTCGTGCAAAATGCCACAAGCTAGTGCAGCTACCTGAATCACCTTCGTATGAAGACCTTGTCCCATTTCAACACCACCATGAGATATCAGTACGCTTTCGTCCGCATACACATGTACTAAAGTAAAACTGCTTTGGCCTCCCATATGCACTTCACCCTCGAGCACAATGTCGGATTCTTCTAACCCCTTCTCCACTTTGCCGCTGACAATGGTGTGCATTGGAAGAATGAATGACTTCTCGCGAATGGCTTCTTGAATCGTTGTCACGGATGGCCAATCGTTGTCACGATGGCAATTCCTCGTAGGCAACCTTCACTTTATCAGCAGTTTCCATGGCTAATTCGTGCGAGTTTGCGACAATTATACCGATGGGTTGACCAACACAAAGAACCTCTTTCGACGCAAAGCATTCCTTGTCCTTCAGCACAGGACCAATAGTATTGCAGCCAAGCTTCTCGGTCTCAATCGTTGCGTCGAAGAAGTGGTGTACTCCTTTCATGCTGAGTGCTTCACTTGCATTAACGTCTTTGATTAAAACGTGAGCACAAGTAGAAAGAACTAAAGCACCATGCAAATTTCCTGGTGTGCTTGGAATATCGTCTGTATAAAGTGCTTCGCCACTCACTTGAAAATATGCCGACTTGTGCATGAGAGGATCTCCAACTGGTCTACACTTCGCCATATCGTTACCTACTGGTCGATGCTTTGAATCTTGAAGACCACCTATTTCCGTACCAAAGCTCTGAATTCCATAAGAGATCGGGCAAACTTGATGCAAGAAAGACTGGCCTGCAGAGTGTACCTCGTCGACAATCATGGGGGCTTCAGGGAACACAGAAGCAGCTGCCATTGTTTCCTGGAGATCAACTCGAAGACGCTGAGACGACGCAACAAAAAACTTGTACAGAAACGATAAGCATAAACTCTCCCTGTACTTCGCCATTCCACCTGGTACATCGTCAAGCAGTTTAAAATCGCTCAAGTATAACACGTCACAACTTTATCAAATGTCACAGCATCAAACAACTTTCAACGAGAAAACGCTCCGTTTCAGATGCAGCCTTTGTAATCGGTGCCATACCACCATATACTGCAGAAGCGTCCTGAATAGTCCAACCTCTACTCTCTGATAAGCATTCAAGCTTCACGCGGATCCCCGCTGTTACGATGCTGATATCATCCTTGCGACGACGGGCCTGCTTAAATGGAAACATATATTCCCATTTCTTCGTGTACGGCATATACACACTCGTGATCACCTCGTCCGGATCCATTCCTACCTGGCGGTATGCTAAAAAGAAGTCACGCACTCGAACATATCGCGCTCCTCTTGTGGACTGAACTGCATTCATTGCTGCAAGCAGAGGATTCATGTCTGAGATCGGGCTAGCTGTGACAAGGTTGCCAGCGATACAAGCCACATTTCAAATGTGTGTGCTTGCAAACCACTTAAGCATCTTAACGATCGACTCAAAAGTCTGCGTTTGATACGATGGTAATCGCTTGACAAGCTCCGACAAATGTTGCGTCACGTCCGTGAGAGTCACGGCAGCGCCAAATTTGACGCCTTCAAATGGCTCCGTTCTAGCAAAAGCTGTCTGGTTGATTTGATCTTTGGTGTCACATCTGTCGTGGCCACAAGCTCTGGGACGCGGCTAACATGTATTAGATGTGCGTACTTGAATCCTTTAAACTTCGTTTCGATCCCCATCTCCGAGTTGCCCACTGATATTTTTGCATCGAAATGTTGACTTTTTAATTCAATCAAGTGCGTCATCGTTACAGGAGCAAACCATTGGACGTGTTTGCCGTCGATCTGCAACACCTGAGGCGTTTTCGTCTTCTCCACAAGTTCCTTTGGAAACGACAATACAGACTTATTGGATTGGCTGATCATAACGTTAGCATCATGGGTACGCCGTTTACGGTTCTTGACCATCTCGCGGATCTTGCGAGACGAACAGCTTGTCATCTCCTTGGACTTGTCACCATGCAGGTACTCCATATCAACTTCTGCAGCTTTCGAGCATCCTGGACACGAACCTTTACAATGTGCTCCGCCTGCGTCATTACCAAAGCTTTTGGCCACGTCCAGAATAGGACGGTACCCAGTGCAACGACACAAATTGCCATCCATCCCGTGCTTAATGTCTTCCATCGTAAGCTCCACACCTGTTTCCTGTTGTTTGACCATCGAGTACAGTGCCATGACAAATCCAGGGGTACAATAGCCGCACTGAGAGGCGTGATATTCAGCCAAAGCTTTCTGTACCTCGTATAGACCACTAATAGCTTCTTCCATTGTACTAGTGTTTGCTACACATTCTGCAGTCGTAACAGCACAATTATCCACAGCACAGAGTGGAGCTAGACAGGAATTTACTACTATATGACGTACATACCCAAGGTCACATTAAATTTAGATATCATGACAGTACAAGCACCGCAACCGCCTTCACCACAGCCGAGCTTAGTACCCGTAAGTCCTAGATCATGACGTAGAAACTGGAGTAGCGTTTGCTCTGGTCGTACGTTCTTTTCAGCAATTTGTATACGCTTACCATTTACATATAGTAACAATTCATGGCGAGCGTCATTAGTAGGAAGAGAAGTAGAGTGAGGCGGCATTGAAGTGAGGAATGTTGGTCTCTACTTGCAGTTGCTACTTGAAGAATGCAATAAACAAATGGTGTAAAAAACGCTGTTCTGATAACAACCTGGCTATGTACGTTTGTATCTTAATCTGAAGCCTACCGGTGATCTTTGATGAGCTAAAACTAGCTTTATTTGCTTTTGTAAAGAAATGATCTCTTAAAAATTACTGAGACAACTCAGCTCATTTGTTGTTTTTTCGACCCTAACAATGTTGATGAAATTAAGGATAGGTGAAATTTTACAATAAGTAGAAACGCATTTCTAACGGATAAATTTCATGTCTTTGGATTCGCTACCATATTTTAATACAAAATGCCAACTACCGGAACGCATTAGAAATGGTAAACAACGATTTGCCCGATTTGCCTGGGGCAACTGACACTCGCTCTCATTGGCGTACAAGATCGTGTATGCATGTATCTACGCCCTCGAGGAAGCTAATCAGACGCCAGAAAGTAAGCACTACGCACAGCACAAGGACGTAGCATTAATTACCAACAAGTGTCTACGGTTGGGCAAAACAATACAGTGCCAATATGACCATCACTCCTTCAAATGACCTTTTATCCAATGAACGAGCCGATAAGTGCGATTTTTCTACTCACGGTACGTTTCAGCTTACAATTCATTTGTTTGACAAGTAAACAAGTGACACTTCAACTTGAATATGAATAGTCCTACCACATCTTCTAGTAGCAGTACATTTATGGATAAATGATGGAGTCTCTTGCATCCCTCTCTTTCAAGTTCAAGACAATGTTGATGACAGAATGCAGCCTCTGTTTGAGCCAAGACGAGGTGCTGTACCAGTTTTCGTTACGGGTGAAGTTGCTTCCATTGAAACTCAGTACCGAGATGGCTCGTTCCAGTTCACTACATCGTGTATGATTAGATTAGATGAAACGGACAGTTTTATCCTGGATCTTGACAAGCAATTAGCAATGAATCCGGCCTTGTTTACCGGAGAAAAGCATATCCCAGTGTCTCCTTTGTCACCGTCGGCGGCCATGGGGATTCCTGTCAAAGAAGGATGGGAGTCATGCTTTGGCTCAGCATTCCCGAGCTTTTCGTCATTCGCTAATCATGACAATATCATGGCAACACTTAAGATTACGCATATGCAGCCTTTTGCGTGCCTAGTGAGCGTCGAGAATCATTGGACACTCCGTGTGTCGTGGTTATGTGTTGCTGAAGAAATCGTTTTTTCCATTTATCTCTCAAAGGAAACAAGCATCGGCAACAAATACGAGGTAGCGTTTTGCCGTGATTTTGGAGATGAAATGGTGTTCCATCAGCTAGTGGAGTGCATTCGTACTCGTTGTAGTGAAGTTGATGCAGAACCGCTTTGTTTCGCCGAGCCGACATTGGAGCCGTGGCTGGATGCCAGCCAGGAGCTGAAAGGTCGTCGTTATGCAATATGTGATTACGAGGCAGCGCAGCTTATTGAGGAGATGAACTCTAAGCTTGATATTAATACGCTGTATGAGGTGGCTAAGATGGTCAAGAATCACTGCCGGCATCACGGCAACCGCCGACTTTTTCTCGAAGCTGATCGTGCCAGGTTTGTTTAAGCTCTACAGTGGTGCTTGCAGACTCCAAAGCTTTTGCACGATTTGCAGCTTTTATACTGCTGCAATATGCAAAAGACGCGTGTGGCGGTGAGAACATTGATCTGTTTCTGTCCGCTTTCGAACGCAATTCGGTTGTGCTGCTACTAGCTGAGCTTGAGTGTCGCGAGAGCGAAAGCTTTTGCTCGCAATTGACGATGCCATGCTTGCACAGATTCAGGACAGTCAAATATTTGTAGCAGACTTGGCGTGTGAAAGGTGTTAGACTTATGAACACGGCTTGATATCGTGTTGAAAGAGATTGATCAGCGACTGTGCTTCGGACTGGCTTCATCCTCACACGTACTCGTCAGCGGATTGTGTATTGGCCACGAATTTGCTCTGGCAGACGTGAGTTCATGCATTCATATTGCTGTACGATAGGACTCGTTGTTCTTCAATATCACTCACCCGGTGGCGGCTAACGGCATTACAGTGCAACAGAATCAACATCTGCTTGTGTTGTGTGACCATAACACCCAGAACCATGCTGGTCAAATGCGTTTGATTTTGATCAAACCAATTAATTTAACGTATGCATTTGCAATTACGTCATTGAGTACACGCTGCTATGACGTTCCTGCTTGTGATGGTTTGCATCGCGCTCAGAAGACCATATTGATGCTGGCATCGAGTTTTAATTCTATTCTCGGGTAGTTGAATCCGTCTTAGACGTGTTGTTTGCAACGCTCATAGTAACTGACGACGTTGATGTGAGCATCAGTTCAACTAGCTACATGTGCTTTGAGATTTAGAGGCCCCAAGAAGGCTATCTACATTGAAACGCAAATAGTCTCTGAACTATGCAAGCACGCATGCGTGGCATCTAAAAAAGATTGTGAGATATCGTCTTCCATGAGCAATTCATATGTGTAAGAGCATTGCCGTACTCTTTATCATTCATTGTCAAGGTGAAAGGAAGAGTTACGCCGACGAGAACTGTATGATGTCCCTGAAAACACGGCAGAGGACGACCCAGATGTTTCAAAAAATGCAGGATCTATTGCCAAGGCTACGTGAGATCGCGAAGGCTCAGCTGATAATGGCACGGACGTTTTTTTCGTATCGAGCTTCGGTCGGCTCTTCCTGCACCACCGTATCCATTGCCACCGCAGCCATAGGCCTAATGCGGCGACTATAGTGATGCCAAACAATCCACGCATATGGTTCTCGGATCGTTTACGAGATGTAATAATTATGGCAGTCTCCTTATCCTGCGTTGCTTGCGCTTCGGCCTCCATTTTCGCTACCTCTGTCTCTTCTTCTTTATTGAAGAGCCTGCGACCTTCAATCGAAAAGCCGACAGCATGCTGCTCTATTGTCATGTACTTTGTATTCTCGAGACTGAGAGTCAGTGTTGGAGTGTCACTGCCGTCAGGAGCGCGCGGATTCATCATGAAACACGTGTAGTGTCCAAGTCGACGCATTTTGCACTGCACCCGGTACTTATCCAAATCCCATGTAAGCGAAGCTGCAGTACCATCACCACCCGTAAACTTCTGCAAATGTGTGATCGCCGGCTTTTGATCGCGACGTCCTGTAATTTTCGCTTGATTACGATGCATGAATATAATGTCACCCACTGGATCACGCTGAATCATAGAGACACCGCAGAAAAAGTCTTCGCCCGCGTCGTACACTCCACCAAGAGCTACAAGATGCTGCACCATATAGAAAGGAGTGGACGTATTAAGCCACGCTAGACGAAACAAATCTTTGTCACCCCACACAAGTTGCCAATCCGTAATCAACCGCGGCAAATGTGACGAGTAAAACATGAGCTTTGAGAGTGCGCATTGTGATCGCGAGCGGTTTACCAGCAATTGACCACTTTCCTGCTCAAACATATCGGTAAACGGCATATCCAGCAGCGTCCACAGTGCGCTCTGCTGCTGTACATTGAATGGCGTGTCGATCGCAGGTCTCCAAAAGTCTGGCCAGAAGATCGCTCCATACTTGACAAACTCTGGTAGTTCAAACAAATACGTTGGATCTCGGACTGGAATATTATCAGAGTCTAACCATAGCACGCTCTCAAACCTTGAGTGATAGATTGCGTAAGGTTTTGCGTGAAATTTCGATGCATTGGGATCTTGAATGACTCTCACCATTACATTGTAATGCTTGACTAATTCCACCAACACGGAATGGTTTGCTTTCATCTCTGTCAAGTCAATCCACACTTCCACTGGCAATGCACATCCTAGTAATCTCAATGTTCGAACAATTGCATACAGTCCCGCGACGACCTTGGGATAGGCAATCATGACAATACCTCTTCTATCTGCTGCATCCTCTTCTGGACTTTTGTTTGACGGCAAATCAAATGGTGGATGCGCGTATTGTGCAGCGTTGATACTAAAGTCTGTAAAATTTCTAGCGTCGTTACACGAGAGTGAAGGTACTAGATACCACTGCCAGCTCTTGCACGTGGCCAACATGACGCGGAACGTCTCACCGCTCGTACGATTACGCACCTCACAAAAGCCGCTAGAGCGCGGCATGGGCTCACCACATTCGCGATCTCTTGTTTCGTCACGTGGTCCGTATGGATCACAGTTGTGGGTCGCACGCCAGCCTAAACACTCAAACTCTTCATCAGTCCAGAGACTACGTGGTCGGTCTGGGCCTTCTAGGTCTACAGTGTTAAGTGCTGGTGCATCATAGACTGATGCTTTAGGCTTTCCACCACCGGTGATATCATACACAGTTGCTGCTATTATAGATGATATGATAAGGAATATAGCAAGCACTAGGTGTCGCTGCAAGAAGCTTGCTACCAATACCTTTAGTGACATTAGTCAGGATGAGATCAAAAGAGCATACGCTCTCTAAGTGTATGCAATAAATACGGTGGGTTAATATTTCTTTAATTTGATGCAAAGTTAAAAAAGTCTGACGAAATTCTAACTACCGGTATTAAACTGGTACGGCAATACAAACGAAAGGCTCACCACTCATATCAATTCCTCAAGATGTGGAGTCGCATTGTGGCGCGTACGGCACGTCGTAGCAGCAGCGCTCTGTCGACCGGGTGTATTGCATCCAAGCAGCGTGCATCTCATGTCTTACCGCTTGGTAGTCTCTCAATACGCTTTGGATCATCGGAATCAACAACGCCGTCTCGGTTCTTAAGTTTGGTGGATGAGGAGAAAACTAAACAGGACGCAGAAGGAGAAGAAAGAGACGAAAGCGCTGGAGATGAGGACGGTAAAGAGGACACAGAAGGGAATGATGGAGATATTGAAGTGGACGTGATTCCAGATGTTAATAAGGGTGGTGTTATGGAAAATGACGAGCTGGACGAGCACGTGATGGAGCTGTTCATGGAGAATCCACTGCGATGGACACCGACTGTCCTAGCGCGTAAGTTTCACCTTTCTAAGCCTCGTGTAGAGGCTATTATTTGGTTGAAGCGTATGGAGGCTGATCTTACGCCCGAGGAGTTTCGTGACAAGGTACAGGAAGCTAAGGAAAGGGCTCGCAAGGAGAATGAAGCGCACGCCAAAAAACTAGCAGAAGCTGAAGCTTCAGGAAACGAGAAGGAGGCTGCACGCTTGAAAAAGCGCGAACGACAGGAGGAGGAGGCTACGGAACCGGACGAGGAACTAGATGCCCGCGAGGAGGCGACGCTTATGGGCGTTGACGATGAGCCATTTAGGAACCCCGAATTCTTCTTCCTCAACGACGAATTTGAGGGATATCCGCCTCTTGTACGACGCATGGGTAAGCATGGACACACGGATCAGCTGTATCCCGAAGAGGCGCTGGAGCTTCAGCGACTGGCGGGGAACAACAAGATTGAATTGATGAAGAGCTTTGCTGACCCCAAGAACAACCAGTCAAAGGCTAGGTTTTGTCTGGCTGTAAAAGATATATCCACAAAGAAGAAACACTTGCTAGTGCGTGACCGGAGCCGCACGCTGCGTTTGGCTACGAACGAGGAAGTGCTGCCCCGCACATGGGTCCGCAGACCACCTCATTTCCGCGGACTGGACAAAGAGCTTGCTTGATGAAGTAATGCTGTTTGTCTTTAGTAGCAATTTAACCCACTATGATGCACACTATGAAGACGAGCATTGGAGAGGTTTAAACTACAATAAGGAAATGCCGGAGGTTCAGGAACGGAGGAACACAAGTGTGAGTGTGGTGAGGATCTATCTACACAGTTGTTAAATTCCTCACAACAAGTACATAAAGTAAATGCCTGGTTGCGAATTGCATCTCTGCAGGATTTTGAAGTGAAGCACTGGAACGCTTGCCACATTGCAAAAAGTAGCGGTGACTACGGACTTAGCAGCTGAGATGTTCGACGTTATTCGTCGGTATGTATGATATTGTATTGGGACTTTTAAAAGACAAAGGTAACTGATAGTAGCAGGGCGCCGTCTCTCGCTAGTTCCACCCCTGAGGCTGAGCTCTTCTTCCTCTGTTGGAAAAACTGGTAGACCCTGCTGCTAGAAGCTGCATATTACGTCCTGTTGGTCCAGGTCCTCAACGCCAACTTGCTGTGTGCAATGGCATCTTGTCCTCACTTTGTCGCTCTTCAGTCAAGCGTTCGGTCGATCTAGTGCACAAACTGCTGCTGATCATCTGCCACGTAGTTTGAGTCGAAGTAAATTTTCTGAGGGCGCTGAAAGCCGTTAAAGTCCGAGCCGGCAGCGCATGTGTAGGCGCCCATGCTGGGGAACAAAATCCACTGCCCTGTGTTCAACACTGGCATCTCCACCTCCTTCATGATGCAGTCCATGCCGTCACAGGTTGGGCCCCAAATACTAGCCTTGTACATCGGAGTGGAGTCTGCCGAGGCGGCATCCGACATGATCACAGGCTGAATCGATGGGTGGTCGTAAACCATGCAGTTAAACGAGGCGTATAAACCATCGTTCACAAAATACATATAGTTGGGTACTTGCCCCGCAACAGCGGCAGCACTAGCAAGCACAGGTGGCTGGCCGGGGACATTGAAAGTGGGAGCCGCTTTGCGTCCAACGACGTTGACAGCAAGCGTGTGGGTGGACGCCGCAAAGAAGCGGCCGGGCTCCGAAATAACCCGCACACCGCTATCGCGTGGGAAGTGAATGACCAGAGACTTCTTGAGCGCGCGAGCGCAGTCCTCGAAGCGAATTGGGGCATTCTCGGTTCCAGGAAAGCCGCCACCAATGTCCAGTAGCTTGAACTTGAAGCCTAGTGAATGGCCAATGTCAAAAACTTTGCGAGCGCTTGCCACAGCGTTCGAATAAGCCTCAACCTTGAAACAACCACTGCCGACGTGAAAACTGACTCCAATGACATCAAGGTTCAAAGCCTTAGCATAGTTCAAGATGTCGGGGACATCATGCACCATGGCTCCAAACTTGGTACCAAGTCGACAGATGGAGTTAGAGTCATCAACATAAAGTCGCAGCACAAGCTTTGCATTGGGACTAATAGTATGGATCTTGACAAGTTCGTCTTGTGAGTCAAATGTCATCATGTCCACCCCATTATCTTGAGCATAGGCAATCTGTGAGCCTTGTTTGCACGGGTTGGCGTAAACAATATCGCTTGCTGCAACACCACTGGCAAGCACCGAACTGATTTCCGTCTGGCTAGCACAGTCAAAGCCTGCTCCAAGGCGAGCGAGGCCTTCAATGAGTACCGGGTCCGGATTGCACTTAACGGCATAATAAGGCCGTACATCAGGTAGGTACTTGTGCCAGAGTTTGTAGCGGTCCTCGACAGCAGCCGTGTCTACAACGTAGAAAGCATCGCGCTGGTTACTAGGACCGTTTCCAAGGCTTTGGATTTGAGTCTGCAGCTGCATCAAAGTAGCCGCATTAAGTTGGAGCCGTTGCAACAGAGGCGGTGGTTTGTCATTTGTCGAAACCGTTGCCAGGTCGGAGGGCAACAGTATCGCACGTGCCACATGTGTACTCATGGCACGGGTGATGGCGCACGATTGCCTGTGGCCAAATTGACTTGCAAGGCGAGATGTGGCCATGAGGGCCATCCGGCTGTTGTGTGAACCTTGAACGAGCAAAAGAACCATCTCGACAATGAAATGAAACAAAGAGTGAACGCGGGTGCGCAGACGCGGACTAATGCAAAAATGAGAGTGTGATTTAACGGCTGGAGGGCTCAACTGCCCAAGGTTGCAGTCGTGCACTGCCCTTGAGCCCAAGGTCGAACACGCTGGTCGGATCCTTGATTGGCGGACACTGTGGTGATGGCCATCGTGCTGATTGGCTCACAGTAGCCGTTATGTAATGAATCTATGTACGAAAAAAGAACCCCTCGTATTGATGATTTGTTAGTAGTAATGAAGTATTGATGATTCGCAAAAGACATTGAGTCAGTCCCCCACGTCCCACAGGGAACCAGGTTCGGACGAATATCGCAGAAAATATGCCACATTTTGATTCAATTATGTCAGACTATTTGAAATTTGTTGTTGCTTAAAGTGTATGTGGACTCAATGCCTTACACGGTTGTAAGACTGGATGGTCAGGTTATGAGGTGAAAACACTGTCAGACTTGTCCAGAATTTGTTCGGGTTGATTTTTGAAGTCAAACACAGCTGATCATCCGTTTCGTGCTGAATTTCGTTTCAAGACAGCTCGAGTGTCACGTAGATGCAATCCTCACGATTAACATTTCGCACTGTCTAGCACCAAGTAGCATTGCTGTCAATTGTCAACCCGCCCTCGCCATGGCTAAGTTTGACTACCACAACTATCGAGCTTTCTACCGATGAATTCGCATTCCTACGATGACAAGTACTCGTTGACTTCGACCGACGCCTCCTGGTCTTCGGGCTCTACCTGCTCTATATGCTCCGTCGAGGTACTGAGTTCGTCTGAATCTTCGTCATGCATCAGCTTCTCGAGACGGTCTAGCCCATGCATCGCCTCTGTCGATTCGGGGTTGAGCCTCAGCGCTTGGTGGAAGTATTTGAGTGCCTCCGCGTACTGTTTGTCCATTGAGAACACAAATGCCAGTTTGGTAAAGACTTCTTCCCGTGGATAACGCTTTCCTAGTGCTTGTAATCTAGAGATTGAAATACACAAGGTATAGTTAAACGGAATGCACAGCACCACGATGGTATGCGCCGTACCTATCAATGGCACCTTGCAAATTGCCTTCCTCAACCAACAGATCGACAAACGCAAAATTGGCGCAAAGGTTACGTGGTTCCATGGCTAGTGCCTTTTGTAATGCCTGCTGCGCTTGTTTTCGGTGCTCCGAACTTAAAGCAAGCACGCTGCCAAACAGAACAAAGCTTTGCGCTTTTTTTGGAAACAGTTTCACTACACTTTTGGCTGTAGCAAATGCTTCCTTGTACCGATTCACGCCGACACTAAATAAGTCACAATAGCTCGTGATAATACCCGTATAGGCTTCCAACGACCGAGCGAGTCTACAGGACGTCCAGAATGCCTTTAAGGCTGGCTGTGGACGATGCATCCTCAACAAGACTTCACCTTGCAACAAGTGGGCGAGCGCGTGACGATTTTGTCCCTCGATGGCGCGCTCGCAAAACTGTAATGCTGTCTCGTAGTCACCCTTCAAGTCGTTATAATATGCAGCAGCAAGCCATGACTCTGGGCAGGTACTGCTTATCTTGAATAACTCTTGCACCAAGTCGTTGAGGCAGGTTCGAGAATTTTGTTTGCGTAAACAGTAGGCGTAGCGGTCCATTAAGGTCACGTTCAAGTCATCCACTTGTCGTGCACGTTTAAACGTAACGTGAGCTTGATGCAGCAAGTCCTGATTAATCTCAAGTGCTGCTTTGTGCAGCAAACCATGCAAATTGTCCGAGAAAACGCAATTGAGTACCTTGAACGACTCGACGGCCTCTACCATACAAAACGTCCTTCGCGTTAGCTATCTTACAGAGCATTCGAGCAGAGCACACACTTTGAGACTAGGCTCAGTAACGTACTTCGATGATTGCCCCGTCCAGCATCCATGTGAGCTGATACTAGTGTCTGCATCCACGTCGCATCCAGTCGTGAAAGCCCACAGAGTTCTTCCATTGATGTCGTCACACTCCCAGAGTAGAACCGTTCAATTTCATGCTGCGTTAGATATGAACCAGACAATTGCTCACTTGTCGACTGAGTACTCTTGCTAGCATTACGTGAACTGTCCGAACCTGCGAATGCATCCGGAGGTGTGCCTTTTACTGAAGCCAATTTTGCGAGCGCTAGGACTGCTTCTAGTGCGTATGGATTCTGTTTAAGTGCTTTTGCGTAGCTTTCTTCAGCCTTGCTCTGGAGCCCTTCGGTCACATATAACTTCCCAAGCAGCAAATTCATACTCAGACTTCGTGCATCCGATGGTGTTGACTTAAGCTGTTCATCACAAGTCAGCCCAATACCGCTACTCAGTCCAAAACAATACGCGTAGTAACATTAAAGCGCAACATCATTTCAATATAAAGTACCACGTTGATAGCTTCGTGAATACATCTAAGCTGTACGTAACATCGAGCCACCTTGAGCTTCACCTCTAGCTCTTCCTCGTTCGTTATGCATGTCATATCTCTGCAGCTGTAACGATAGTAACGCTACATCAACATCACCATAGCACAATGTTACACAGAGCATCTCATCACCTATTTCTTAACCACTAGGCTATTCAACTCACAATGGCGCGTTTAAACTCACGCTTTGCAAGCATCAAATCTGCAAAAAGACGCAGTGTTTTCGCGTGGAAAGCAGGTAACAGCGTCTCGATGCTGCTTGATTCTGCTGTAAAACAATCAACAGATCTCTTTGATAGAAAGCTATCGTCTGATCTTGTCTGGGCATGGCTCTTGCTATCATAAGCTTCATAATCTACTGGAACGAGTGCTACGGAAACTAGCAATTCACCTAAAATCTGAGCTGAATCCACATCTCCATTATGTAAAAAAAGCTCCAATTGCTTTTGCATCATATCAGCATCAAAGCCTGCAGGATTTAACGCGCTATTGTTGACTGTCACGCTCTCGTCACGGGCTGAAAGCGGCTCATTGCCATGCCGCTTCTTGGTCGGTCGCTCCATTGTTTTAACTTCGTTTTGTCAGTTAAGTTCGTCTTAGGTTTGTTTTTATGACATGTATTTTACCCACTCACTGTTAACAAAACCGGTAATTATTATGATCAAGCAACAAGACATCACTTTGCTGCTATCCTGCATCTTTTTAGCTCAAGCAGTTTTTTGCTACATGTATTATAAACAGAGTATGCGACAATACGCATTCAATACTGTTCTTTTATAAATCTTCACTAGCGCGCTTGATGTCGAGCAGCTCGACGTCGAACACCAGCGTCGCCTTGCCAGGTATCTTTGGAGGCGAGCCTTGATCACCATACCCCAGGTCCGACGGAATCGTCAAACGACGCTTTTCACTGCAGTAAGAAAACAGCAGCAACATCATCAAAAAACAGAGACAATAAGATATCAGCATAAATATTATCAAATCCGTTCGAGCTACAAGTCTTCCATCGTACCCGATGCACATGTTCACAAGTCTGCAAAGAGTTCAAAACAATAACAACACCATAATTGCAATCAATCAGTACCACACATTTTAAGCAGCTTTTCACAATACGACATTTCAGGAGCTTATTAGCTGCATCGAACATCAAACGCACCCTTGGTCCCAACCCTGTTCATATACATCCAGCAACAAAACACCCACACAAGAGACGATATCAGTGCAATGACCAGGCTAGTTACTGAATGAATGCCACATAAAAACATCAAATACACTGCATAATAACCTTAATGACACGGCCAGTACCAAGTGTGAATTCAAATGGCTGGTTCCGATCCAAACTCGAATCGAACTTGACGCCGTCTTTGCGCAACATTCCAGTGTAGTGCATGGACAGCTTATCACCCACATCACTCTTCATAGTGCACTCCTCTGGACGGTATTTAACACCAACGCGTAGACTTGCATCAGGTGGAAGATCATCTTTAGCCTGCACTTGTACAGTGGCCATTACCGTTGCTACTAAAAACGCTGTCCACTTCATCCTTTTTTTCCACTTGACTTTGTCCGTGACTTTTGAGTTATGAATGAACACGTATGATGTGGAAAAAACAGCCAAGTGGTCAAATATCATTGGATAAAATTTATTACCAACCTTTAACAACAAAATCGGGCAATTTACGATCAGTAATTGAAGGGCGCTTTGCACCGGACACTAAGCATTATTACCAATATGAGACAGAACACATTGAAAGCGTTATCCCTATCATAGCACTTCCAAACGATGCTTTCTTCAGTGATATTACTACTTATATATGTGTGTTGCCAAATTAACACTGGAGCGAAGCAAATACGCTCGACAGTGGTCTGGGTAGCGCAATCAGTAGCTGTGCATGATTAATCCGCGGCAAGACATTCTATGCTTTCAAACACATTTCGCCTGCATTAAATATCGCCAATGCTGCTCATAGAAAGCACACGCTGCTTGCGAATATGACTGCTCATGCCCATCTCTTGTAAAAGCTGGAATAAATCCCCCGAGTTCTTAATATAGTATGGCGCTTGAGAATGTTTGCGGCCGAGTGTGCACACAAATGTGTTAACGGGAAATCGATACCGACCATCATCAGCTTCATCTGTAGACACTGAAGTCGTCTGGCTGGCTGGCAATTCGCTTCCGCCCGTTTCCTTCTCTTCATAAAACTCATTTTCTGCGATGTTAGAGTCCAACATGTCGTTAATATTGTGTTGAGACTGTTTTTCATCGCCTCCCTCTTGCTGTACCATTGTTGTCCTCGTTGTCGCCTACAACCGTGGATTGGGAAACGGTCAAGCCGTTATTGACCGAAGCATTTTTCTTCAAATCTCCAGCGGCTGAGAATTCCAACCCTTCTATTGTCAAAAGACTTTCAGTAATTGAACTTCTCTCTTCCCGCTCACTTCTACCGTCTTCTCCCTTGCCACGCGCGGTAGGCGGGCAAATAAGTGCCCAACACGCCGCCAAAGTATCCGGCACCCTATGAAGGCCAAAATTTTCACCGTATTTTGCCTTCATAGCCTTAAACAAAGCGGCAGAGGGTGGAAAGTCACGACGAGTTAGCCTGCTCTTCTCAGTGATCCCGTCGTGGTGTGTAACAAATGGTCGGTTAACCATCGGAAACATGTTCGAAATCCCTTCAGAAACGGAAGAGGTCGTGTGCGGTGTCTGTTTTGGCATATTGTCACCCAGCGCCCGAAAGTCAGCATTACTCGGTAGCGAAGGGAGTCGCGAGACCGACGACGCAGTTGACAAGCCCTCTCGCTCCCCAGATCGCCCGGCAGCGAGAAACAAGGAGCCTTCACCATGTCCCACTAGTCGTCGAGACGTGTTGTAAGACATGTCAGCACTGATATCATCAAAACTCGATGAGCCAATATCACTTTTACTGTGTCCCTCTTCTTGTTGTCGAGTAAACGAGGAAGATGAATCGTCAGTATCGAGTTCGTGAAGTAACACTCCTTCCCCCTGCTTTCGACTATCCGACATGTCGTCCTTCTCGAGTTGTCGGGAATATGCGTCAAGATCGATTGGCGGAGGCACCAGAAATGCGAACAAATCTTCATCAGTTCGATCATCACCCGACGCGATTACTAAGACAAAATCGACTGGGTGTTTCTCGTCCACAGCATCTATTTGCTCAGTACTAGAGCTCTCTGAATCTTTTCTAGCTGTAAGACCATCATCACCAGTCACTTCGTTTCGCAATCCACGGGGTAGTAGTATAGAAGACGAAGGAGGGTACACCGCTTCTCCAAAATACTCTGTTGTCACCGGATCTTCATCAGGAAACAGCGACGACCAATTCATGTACTCCCAAATACGCTCAAACAGCGTAGCTTTGCTAACCTTCTTTGGTCGCACCTCCAGATACCGATTGCCTGGATATACCGACACCGGAAGAGACCTGGTGATCTCGCGCAATGAGACCAAAAGCTCACTAGCTTGCCACAGACCGTGGTCCAAGTCGCAGTCGCGATAGTGCCATGCTACCGAACTATCCTTGCGCTCAATGTACGCACCTGGAGTACGCTCTGTGTAATACTCCAGCAAAGGCACGATGTGTTCCCACCAACTGACATCCATGTCCGGCACCAAGCAGTGCCAACGTTCGTTGTTGCCAACCCACTTAACGTATACACCATACTCCGCTGCAAGAACAAGGTTTCCTGAGAGACCAGCAAACCACTGCTCGCAAATTGAGGTACTACGTGCACTCACAAGGACAACAGTGTTACGCGGATCGGTCGTGAGCATAGACAGCTGCCAGATAAGTTCTTGTGGCGGGTATGCTAGTTCCGGAATTGACGCCTCAACTGCAAGCACACTTTCATAATTAATCAAAATCAGCCGGCGCGACGACCGAGAGTAAGCTGAGGTCATATCGCGACGACTTAGCTCGCGTCCTGATACGAACACCGCGTTCTCTTCGCGGCATTCATGAAGCTGCTCCAGGAAACAATCTGCCCAATGCCTCGACGTGAAGGAACTTACGTAGCTAAACATGTGCTGGTGAGCACGTATCACTTCGTCAGTGTCTTGGAGGGACTCTAGCAACGCACCCATCAGTTCTTCAGTATTCCATGGATTCACGAGTCGCGCTTTGGCCAATGATTGGGCACAGCCTGCAAACTCACTGAGGATCACACGAGCATGCTTGTTTGCGGCCTCACGGCAAACGATGTATCCGAATGGTATAGTGTTCATACCGTCACGGACAGGCGTGATCACTAGCGCGTCAGCCAAGGCATACAATGCGAGCAGAGCCTCCACGGCAATTTCTTTATTCAGATACTGCACAGGGCCTTCAGTGCCAATATCTTGTAACTTGCTGTTAATACGGGACACAAGTGACTCAACTTGCGATTCTAGAGCCGGCTCAAACACTGATGGGCTCGTAACAATCTGCAAGAATACCACTTGTTTTGCGAGGTCTGGTTTTTGGGTAAACAATTCCTCAACCGCCAATAACTTATGAACAAGTCCTTTCGTTTGGTCTAGCTGATCCATCCCCAGAATCACCTTTTTTCCGGCAAATTGACTTGTCAATTGCTTTATTTGCTCCTGAACTGTGTCTGATTGCACCATTGAAGTATACTTATTGGCATCAATTCCCACTGGGCAAATTGTTACACGCGCGAAATGCCCGTTGAAATCCACGCCTTTGTGGCTGCTTTCGAGACCAAGCAACCGAACACATGCGCTTTGGAAATGACGGGCGTATTCGTGCGTTTGAAACCCGATTAGATCAGCACCCAATATACCAGTCAAGATTTCTTCGCGGTTGTTTAGTATCCGATACAACTCTGCAGATGGAAATGGAATGTGCATAAAGAAGCCCATACAGATATTGTCATTTGGAAACAAACTCTGGACCATTTGAGGTACAAGCGTCAAGTGGTATCCCTGGATCCAAACCAAGTCGCCTTCTTCATAAACTTCTTGCACTGCATCTGCAAACGCCTGGTTCACCGCAACATACGCCTGCCACATCTTTTCCATACTACGGTCATCTTCCTGTCCGTCCTCCATCATTTCATGCTGTGTAAGCTGATCATCCGTCGTTGGCGGACATGAATGGAACAGCGGCCACATGACCGTCTTGCAAAATCCCTGATAATACAATCGCTCTTTCCTTTCGTCCAAAAAGACTGGATAATATTTACGATCTTGTAGTAATTGTTCCTTCAACGTATTCTGCTCATTTGGTTCAATCTCACCATGCACTGAACCAATCCAGACGCAATCATAACTTTCGTGCAAAGACTGAAAAATCTCAATTGCTCCATTAAGACTTGCGTGCTCGGAAAATTCTGCACGCCATTGTGACTGTGCGTCCTCTGATACGAGCCAAAATGGTAACGTCCGAGTTACCAGTAGTACTCGACGACGTCGTTTCGAGCCTTTAATCCCATCATTGTCTGTAAAATCCTTGACGTTCACTCCTCCTGCACCATTTTTCTGCTCCTCTTTAACACGTTTATCACGCACTAGATTTAGTTTTGTATATAATGCAGAGAGTTCATGTAGTAGCGCTGTTTCTCGGTCTTTAAAGTTGCTGGTTTTCGTCATTGTTTGTGTAGGTGGAAAAAGAAGGAATACTACTACTATTCCTACTGATATTCTTCTTGTTATTTGCTTTGATATTGTGGAGAAAAAGAAAGAGAAGAAGCGACACGACGTGATTGGGACAAGACGACGTTACCGATTGAAAAGGGCGTTAACTGTCAATTATGTGTATAATACGCCGAAGCGTGGCGATAGCTGTTAACAACAAAAAAATACATAGTTGGCTGCTGATAAGACACGAAACCTGTGGTCACGCATAATTGAAATGTCTACGTAATACGAGAGGCTTGCTCAAGTAGTAATAGTAGTAGTAAATACTATCTATCGATTAGTGTATACAGACAAGAACAAGAGAAATGAATGCCTCTGACTTTGGAAGTGACGTGTTGAATATAAAGGATACACATAATGCACGTAACTTAGCTACTTGTTGGAATGAAGAAAAAAAATTTGCTACTGATACGTGTTGGCGGTGGATGAAGAGGTTACATTTGTGAGACGAGGTAGTAGAAGACAATCATCATCAACAGAATGAGCGACGCACCCAAAATAGAAAACATGAGCTTGCGTTGGCGCCGTCTTCGTCTCTCCTCAAGCTCGGACAGTAGCAAGATTGTAGGAACGAGCTCCAAGTCAGGCCGTACTTGATACAACGCCGCTTTTTCCTCAATTGTCAATCGGCGTGGCATACAACGTGTGGCACACGATCCATCAAGTCGTCGCTTGGTATCTTGGTCTTTGTCCTCGTCGTGAATATCGAGTGCAAACCCGACCGATACTTGTTTCTTTAGATTTCGACATGAAAAGCCCGTTGATGGTATTCTTAAAATGGACTGGAGTGAGCTCGATGTGCTGCTGATTGTACAACTACCGTCACTATCACTCTCTGTCTCACTTTGATTGCTGTGCTGATCACTACTGCCAAGCAGTGCATCTGACTCGGAGAGTCTCGGGGCTACGGGTATATTGCTTTTCCGACTTGAGCCTCTAATGGGCATGGATCCATAAACAGCGGTAAACTCGCGTCGGTTGCTGTTAGTGTCGGTCTTGAGAGAGTAAGACACGTAGCTTGAGTGCTGATACGTTTCGTTCTCGTTGTAATCAAACGGAAAGATCTGCTCGGTCTCTTGCATGCTCGAATCCATCCTGCCTGTCATTATAAGTTTAATATATAAGCTTGATACGAATAGTGATGACAGCTATTTTCGTAGTGAGAGAGATTTAAGCGCGATGGCAACTACCGCGACTTCTGGCGGTCACATCTGTCGGTATCGTTTCAGATTGAAACGTGATGGAGCAACTTGGGGTTGCAAATTCCAAGTCAAACGAACGACATATGACCCTAATTCTGCATCTTACCTATGATCTTTGCAAACCAAGTTTCCACAGAACAAGTCAGGAAGCACGACAGAACACGGCGCGCCACGTTGCCCAGTGGCATTACTAGTATTTTATATTAATACGGTAACAAAACAAAATCAATTGTAACAACTGTAGTTGGTCGTTTTGTTATCTTCTGCTGTGTCATACTCGTGTAGATCAGAAGTATTGTAGTTATCAATGCTCTTGATGTCTGCAAAGACGTTCGTTGCTCATTCATTTTTAGCAGTCAGTAGACGGACGTCTTGCTTTTTTGTCACATTTTAGATTTTAGAAAGTCCGTATGTATAAACAGGGCGGCCAGATCCTTTAACCAGCTTCAATAATATCTAAGATTTCTTTTATACATGAAGTAAACCAAAACGGTAGCCAATGAATGCCATCGACATCCTACAACCAGCAACCGAACTTGAAGTTGAGTGTGTTGCTGCCACTATAGTATTTCTCTAGACTGTTTTTTGAGACTCGATCATCAATGAAAGTACTATGAATGATGAGAAACACTTTACATAAATACTCCACGGTGCTAACATACCGAATTGACGCCATGATTTGCAAAATCTGTTGTTCAACATGGGTGACTACAAAAATACATGAAGCGTTTTCTTTATTATGTTGAATGAGTTGATGCAGCTTATTGCCACCGAGATTAATACAGCTCAGCTTGAACAGCCACCTACAGCCAGGACCGTCTAGTTTCCTTTCGCAAAAAGGCTGTTTACATTCGTTGGCATACAAGCCGTTATCGTTTTTCTAATGTGACATACATAGCACGTATTGATATTATAAAAGAAAGACATGAAATTACTCTATCATGGAGTCCCTCTATCATTGCCAGTTTCAAAAGTTATAGCGAATAAGGTCAAAGATCCGTTGGGTTTTAGATGGCTTTGTCACGTGTATGATTAGTACACTGTTTTGAAAATAATTGAAAAAAAATAAGATTATACGAATACTGCCAAGAACAAAAGCGATTACGAATCACAATTAGTTCAACCATGACAGTTTATTCCCATCAGAAAAAAATCCATTCGTTGTACGTTAACTACTACTACTTTATGATCATGGAGTGAATGATTGCAATTATTCAGCTCCATGCAAACAAAAGCAAAAGTATGACACAAACTCCGTCATTTCCACGATCATTTGCCACAAGATAACGTAGTGTCAGCCATCAACACGTCTTCTAATACTCCGCAACGTAAAGACTTACCGCTCCTTCAATCGAGTACGAGTTGCCAGTGTACTTCAGTACACCTGTCACGCCATCCACCTTGAACACATACATATCATTCGACCCCTGGTTTGCCACGATGAGCCAGTTTTTGTGTATCGCGAAACTTCGAGGTTTCGCTCCTCGCGAGCTCTTCCAACCAACAACCTCTAGCATGCCATTCTCTTGGATCGCATAAGCAACAATCGAGTTGTGACCGCGGTTTGAAACGTACAAAAATTTTCCATTGCTCGAAAAATGAATATCAGAAGCACTGTTCTTTTCTGTAAAACCAGTAGGCAGCGTTGAAATGTTCTGCAAAGCGATGCTAGACAATAACGCCGTATTCTTGCCGATCGCGTACACACCAACGGTGTTTGACAGTTCGTGTGTGACGTACACAAAACCTCCGTTATGGTGAGCGACCAAAGAACGAGGTCCCGATCCCGGCGAGCTCTTGACAGTCTTTAGGCTCTTCAACGTCTTCGTCTTCGCGTCCAGCTCGTACTGGTAAAGCTTGTCGCTTCCTAGGTCGGCTGCAACGACGTGGTTCGAGTTGGGCAACCACGCGGTACTGTGAATATGGCCTGTAGCTTGGGTTTTCATGACGACGTTGCTACCAACAGGAAAGTTCTGGTAAAAGGATTCACGACCAACAGATCCATCAGCATTAAGTGGGAACAGCGACAGACTGCCGGCGTAGTTAGAAACAGACACATAATCCTCGTTGAGGCTAACCGCCAAGTGGGCCGGGGATTCACCTCTCATCTCCTGCGAGTTGAGAACTCTCAAGGTGCCATCCGACTGCAAAGTCATTGCCGACACGTGACCGGTAGTAGAACCGCGGTTTAGAGCGTAAATAACCCGCTCGCCGTTCGAGAATTTCTTGTTTGAGCCCTGGACATGCGTTGGGTTAAGGCCCTTATCCGCAAACGTAAGCGGCGTGATTCCGTAAGGCTCGAGAGACCCATCAATCGTGTTGAGTTTGAAAGTGTTGATGCCATTCGTAGTTTTCTTTGTCCAGGTAGCAACAAACAGAATTGGTTGTGATTTGGTAACAGTTGAAGCACCAGCCACGACAGCACCAAGGAAGACATTAGCGACGCGCATGCTGACGGTTGTTTGTTCGGTAATGGTGGGCTTTACTCGTCACATGGAATTGTAATTCTCCTACGTAAGTGCTAAAACTTCACAAGATGACAACGTCATTACTTTTCTACTTCACTTTGCAACCACGAGCCATTGTTGGCCATCATCATAATTACACACATTTGAAGATTCATAACAGGTGGTCGCACAATCCTCTTAAGCTTTTTTACTGACGGGATTGTGGTGCAATATGCTTTTGTCCACAAGAACCTGACCCGCTGACCGATCGACCATCGTTTCGTAATTACAATTACATGCAACCCCAAACATCTTGTCGTTTGCAACAATGCTTTCGTATGGAAAAAAGTTTTTTTTTATACCAACGCTTGCATGAACGACACGCTGAGATTCCAGCCGCCAAAAAGGAACTTCTATGCCACAACCACGCTGCTTGATGTGTCAAGACTCCCCGGCTTACTAGCTGGCAGCTCTTGCTTTAACTCATCGTCAAGATCGCCCACACCCGATTCGTGCACAAGCGAGCATAGTGAGCGCGAATGCTATAAGAAGCCTTCCCAGCAAACAGATGCAACGTCACTTAATCAACGAAGTAACATGTGTTGTTGTATGGTTATTCTACTTCACCTTCCTTCTTTAAAACTTCTCATGTTGTGATCCAAGCGATAAGAATGAATATGCATTACCTCTATTTACATTGACCACGGTATGGATGCGTCATAGTTAGACACAACAAAAGATATCACGAGAAATCAACCAGTCCTTAGGGTGAATCCCACTTCGGGTACAGATGAATCCAACAATCGCCGGAAAGAGATGTAGTGTTTCCATCGATAATTTCGTTCAGCTTTCCAAATACTCCATAACATAGAGGCATACAGCCGTTCCAATCTTGTATGAATTGCCTGTGAACGAAAGTAAACCCGTATTGGAGTCAATCTTGAACACAAACATATCGTTAGAGTTCTGGTTGGCCACAATCAGCAAGTCTTCGTAAACCACAAAGCCGCGAGGGAATTTACCTCGGGTACTCTCCCACCCAAGCGACGTGAGAGTGCCATCACAATTAATCTTGAACATTGCAATGGAGTCATGACCACGGTTTGACGTGTACAAGAACTTTCCATTACTGGACAGATGGATGTCAGCGCTTGTGCTGGCGTTTGTAAAGCTACTCGGAAGCGTCGTGATCTCTTGCAAAGCCTTGGTCGATAATACAGCAGCATTCTTATCGATTGGGTAGACACCAACAGTGTTAGAAAGTTCGTCCACAACGTACGCCATATTTATGGAACAAACCATGTGACGCGGCCCAGATCCAGGTAAACGCTTCACCGTCCTCAGACTCTTGAGCGTCTGCTTCTTTTCGTCCAGCTTGTATTGTAACAATTCATCGCTACCTAAGTTTGCAACAACAACGTGCTTTGAATTCGGCAGCCACGTGGAGCTATGTATGTGGCCTTCGGCCTGCCGGTCCTTAACGACATTACTACCTTTTGAAAACTCCTGGTAAAAAGTCTTTTCGGCGAGAGAACCGTCCGCATTGATAGGAAACATCGCGATACTGCCAGCGTAGTTTGAGACGACAACATAGTTCTGGGAAGGGCTTACCGAGATGTGGGTTGGTAATCCCCCGTACGTTCTACGCGCCTTAAGCAACTTGAGTGAGCCGTCACTGCTCAGGGTAAAAGCTGACACATACCCAGTCTTAGAGCCGGGCTTGCCAAGGTTCACGTCATCGACTGAGTTAACAACGTAGATTACACGCTTACCAGTGTTAAACACCTTCGTGGAGCCCTGGACGTATATGGGGTTGACTCCGTAAGGCGTGACTTTCCAGGGTGTGAGGGACCCAGTTGTCGTATTAAGCTTGTAGGTATAAATGCCTTTGCCCGTGCCATTAACCCAGCCTTCATCACGCGTAAAGGTTCCTACGATAAGGATTGGTGGTGTAGCAGTTTGCTGCTGCTGGGGTGAACCAGCCGAAACGCCCGTCACTGCTGCCACGAAGCAGAAAAGAAGGAGACATAGGATGTGCATTTTGGGATGCCTAACTATACGATGATTGAGTACCAGATCGCAAATTGATGAATGATGGAGTCATTTGCTTCCGCATACGTACCTTTCATCGATGTAACCAAGGTGGTACTTATTTACAGTACTTCGAAAGTAAAGATTAAAGCACGTCGATTTGTATATCCCAAATATTCAGTTGATACGGTAAAAGTCCATATGTCAGGTGCATATGTTTATATAGAAAGCACAGGATTGTCGTATCTGCGGCATACAAGCGTGTTACAATAATTCCATGTATGCATTGACTTGAGCTATCAAAACATCCATAGAAGTAAAGTGTCTCGATGCCTGGGACCAATCCAAGCTTCGCCACTAACTTTTATCTTAAGCTTCTCTTACTATGCAGGTCACAACAAAGCCAGCTAAGTAGCTCAGCTGGTACGATCACTTTCGTGATTTGTTATGGTTTTTCGAACATGAACCCATGGTCATTTCTACGTCCTAATCTATGGATTGCTGACGCATTCTTTTAGCGTCAGTAGATACACTTGTGTGATTTACACACGGCGTCATTGGGGTCGCAATGATTGGCCCAAGACGGGAAGGCTATGAACATACACTTACTGGGTGCGGCTGTATATTGTCACATATACAAACGTTCTGAGTGATGTTTTGACAGAATTCTGGGAAGTTCATTTGACGGTATTTAGCTATAACCTTCTTTCTTTTGAGGCACCCAAATTGTTGCGTGCCCGCGTGCGTGCTTTAGCCACAGCTAAACTAGTCTGTGACTGGAGAGCGGGGAGTTGTCCTGGTTTTACATCTATGTTCTAATCTGATCAGTTTTTTATGAAGAGCCATGTTGCAGCTATTCTTCTAAGCACTGCGCGTCCTCCCTGCGATAGCATTTATCGCGTGTTGCGAGTTTTCTGATTGCTGGTTGCTAGTAAAGTACTTTATAAGCAGTGTACAGTGCACACCATGGGAGGTTGACAGAGGTTAAAGACCATACGCAAGAAGATGTAACGGTTACACAAAGGTGTGTACTATACATACACATCTGCCACATCATTTGGACTTTGGGTATATTGAACTTACAGCTCTTTAATGTAACCGTAACTAAGGTACAATGGGTTCACATCATTCGCAGGGAGCCACATGACATAGTACTTGGTGAAGTATAGTGGACATTGTTGGAAGGCTACAGAGCTAGTTCAGTAGAGTGACAAGCACTAAGTAGAATAGGTAAATCTATACGATGGCTAGAAAAATAAAACATCAATAAATTGGTTGAAACTGTAACTGTCACGGGGTTATATATTGTACATACATACCTGCCACACCATTGTGGTACAGAGGTAGGTTGACGTGACCGTGCCTAAGGTACGAAAAGTCACATCTTGGCAAGACAGCCACGTGGTAGTTTTAGTTAAATGACTTTCATGTTTACATATTAGTAGGCTACAGAGCCCGATCAATAGTGACTAGCACTAAGTATAGAGCAGGTGCATCTATATCTAGTGCTAGATGATAAACATTGTAATATCTCAGTTTCAAATCAGCTCTGAATAGCATACGTTCTAGAGCGTTCTCTTCCTTATAAGAAGCGATTGGAACTTTGGTACTGGTATCTTGGAGACAAAGTTGTTACAACCAAAAGGTACAAGCTTACTAAGTAAGCTTTGGGACATGAAGAGTCCTAAGACACACAGTTCTTGAAGCTTTGTCTTCTTCTGCACATAGGGCATAAGTAGCTTAGCTACAGTAGCTGGGCTACACCTGGTAGCAATTGTAGTCAATCCCGCACATAAGTATGTGACTACTTCTCTGTGTGAGAATGGACATCGATGAGATGTCAGCGGTTGGTCTGTCACAAGCAGACCAGGAAGGGTTGAAGAAGATGCTCTTATCCTTGGCCCTAAGGGCGTGGAATATCTCATCGTCCAAGGCAAAGAAGAGGTCAACAAGCGTTTTTATATGCTTCAAGAATATAACAAAACTCGAGTCGAGCATGTAAAGTCACAGATGCCTTCTTCTGCACCTTCGCCCATGGCGACTATGGCGCAAGAAGTGGACCGCAGACCAAAACTTATACATATGGAAGTCGATAAGTTTGACGGCAAAGAAGGTGACACCTTTATGCTTTGGTTCCGACGAGTTGAGTCGGCTATGTTTATAGCCGATATCACCTATGATCCGTAACGTGATGGATTTGCCACAGGTAAGCTGGGTGGATTATCCAAGCAGTGGGCGTTCACATGCTGTGCATCACTGCAAGTTGCATTCCCAACATGGGGCGATCTGAAAGGCCAGATGACCCGGCAGTATGCACCTCCAAACCAAGCAAACCGTAATCAGTCGCAATTTTGGCGTGTCGCCAAGTCAAGCGTGAGCATGCGGCATATGTGCAAGAGTTGAGATCTTTTATGGCTGCCATGTTCATAGACCCTGTGCCTGAGGCAGTGACCGTCACGGTCGGTCTGTATGAAGGGACTCCAAGTTAGCGTTGCCAGAGCGGAAGTCTTTCAGGTAAACCCATCCTCATTCGAGGAAGCTGTTGTAGGGGAATGGATTGCCGAGAACAACTCTAAGGCTGATATGCCTGCCCACTTATAACCACTCCCCTGATGGTTTTGTACCCATGGACTGTAGTCAAGTGGAGGATGAAGAAGCTGAGCTTCAAGCTGCGGAGCAGCAATTGTGCGCAGATGTTATATCAGCAAAAGCACAGGACATTTGATGGCAACATACTCTGCACTTAAGGTATATTTGGCCTCAAAAGGCCAACGCCACATTGGCAAACCTCTGGAAATGGCGGAAGCCAGTAGGCGCGGGGCGCCCTACTGGGGAAGAACTGAGTTCTGTTGAACCTCTAACAAAAAGTAGTAATTAGGTCATAGCCCCAAAGAAATCCGAACTCTCAAAAACGGAACGAGAACGAGCCAGGCTTGCTAGTCGTCAAAGGGACGATCAAGGGCTATGATAAGCCATGGATCATTTCAATAAATTCGGGGGCATCGGACAGTTATGCTTGCCGTGCTGGCGAGGAATGTAGTCAGAAATATGCTGAAGTGCTTAGAGCCCGTGAAGGTGACGCAGTCGCGGCTTGCAAGGGACGGTTACGCGTGTTACGGTACCCAAAGTCCCGATGAACTTAAATGTAAATATCTTGGACTTTAACAGCATGGAACGCTGATTGGTCTTAGACCTGGATGCGAGGTGTGACCTCATCCCATGCATGGCATGGCTAGAATACCATGAGCCATGGATTAACTTGACGTGGAAGACTATAGGGCAACGCGCATTGTTCCTGGTTGGAATTGACATATTTGTTTATATCTCTTTCCTTATGTGAGAGCAAATATGTTCTAAAAAGTGCACGTATGTTACATTACAACAAGCTTGCAAACTTGTTCTACATCATCTATTGAGATACGAACGTTTGCACAGGTTGGAAATGAAAGAACTAAATGTATAGTAGTGCTGCTAGAATATTGTTAACTACCTTCTAAATAGATTACCTTGGTCACCCAAGTCTCGTTTGTATCGTTTCAAACTATAGACCACAGATGCCTCTTCCGATGAGGCGCACCAGCAACTTCAAGGTAGGATAAAAATAATTTTTTTAACTCTGTGCAGCGCAGATGGTCTGTAGCCAATCTGGTATCTGAAGCACTAAGTTCAGAAAAAAGTAAGCTTTACGTCTTAGGGTCATTAACCCTTTTGAGGTAAACTCTACAAACTTCTGCCTTCTTGATTGTAAATAATCAATGTCTCTACGAGACCATATCATAAGATACTAATCTCTTTCATAAAGCCATAATTTATGTAACCAATGCTTACTAAAGCAGATTTCTGTAATTGGCCGCGTCAAAATTACATTAAGAGCTAGTTATGTAGGAAACATATTGACGGCATGTGTTAGAAGCCGATAACATCATATTGAACCGATTTAGCACAATCCTGACTAACTGTCCCTTATTGGCAGATCGGAATTTGGACACGTGTTGGTCTCTGGTAATGTCACTATTGAGACTCTTAATAGTGACCGACAAAATATTACTTAATTTATTAACACAGCTCAGTTTCATAAGGGCTCGAGATCGACACTCTTTAGCAGCTTCCAAGTGCGATCAGACTCAAGGCTTATACGCAAAGGCAAGACCTACTAGACGGCCCAAGGGGCCAGAAGATTTCAAGCAGGTTAAGTTGATCAATAATCCATACATTTTAAACATGGCGATCCAAGGTAGATAGGGTAGCTATAACACTTGGAATGCTCACCGCTGTGTGGTTTATGGTGCTCGATCTCATAAGGATCTGGTAAAAACCATCCATTAGATCGATGGCACTGAAGAGGAATTTTCTCGACGTTTACTTTAATACTATGTCCTTCCGAGCAATCAATGTCTGCGCAGGAATCGTGACGTATCTAAGCTTTTTGAACGCGTAAACAATTCATTCCGTCAGTAGCCTTCTTCACGGAAAAAGTCGGACTGAATGAGAAGATATATCTCGCGTACATGGCCCGACTTGAGTCGGTCCTGGAAGAGGTCGTCAATTCTTTAGTTTCGGTGTTGAGGCAGTGTCCACTGGCGTGTCGCGCAATACTTTACCCGGCACGCATTAAAATTCATGCTGAACACCTATATCAGCGGGGTGTTATTGTGGTGAAGCGTTGGAAAAACTGAGAGGTCAGAGGACCAGTGGGTCAAAGAGAAAGGGGTTTGCCATGAAGGATCGACCGTTGGGTACGGAATAGACGGACGGGGCGATAAAGGGGATGGGGAAAGACCGTTAAATGAGAAGAATGTACGGTCAAAGAGTGCTAGTTAGCCGCTATTCAGAGGAGTTAACCGCGGTTAGCCCGATGGACCGCGGATTCTTGAGGTCGAATCCGGTCCTTCAAGGTCAACCCGGTAGACCCCAGCCTTTCATAAAGGTAGACCTTGGCCTTACGGTCGGTGGACTCTCGAACCCGGTCTCTAAGGTTTGACCTTGGTCCTTCATCAATGGACCTCGGT